AGTGGTAAAAGTTGCACACCTAGATGCGAGATGAAAACCGAAACCATGGTGCTGAAACAGCATTGTCGATGCCACAACCCTTGGGTGGGGTGTTGGGTGGAAGATATTATATCTTGAAGTAGTGAAGAAAACTTCATGGTATTTGGTTGATCTAGACTCTAAGGATGTAGCTTAGGCGATGCGGGAGGATGATAGAGATGACCTGATCCCAAAAGGTGAAAACCCACGATGCTCAACTATTTTTGCAAAAATCCACGATGTTTGAATATTTCTTTATCACCAAGCAAACTACATAAGTGCATGCGCAAGTGCCGATCAGGCGCCGGCGGCAAAGTCCTCGGTCACTCGTACTAGGTAGTGGCCAAATGGCTGAATATGCTTTGGGCGAAGAGTGAGACTCTATAAATAACAAATCAAATCTATGACTATTACATGGCATGGTTCAGGAGAACAACTGATTATGAGAATGTCTGGATATGACGTCTCTAGATGATCGAAGACCACTACCTTACTACCTACCAATGTAAGAAGGGTAAGTAGCACACATGTGAGATTCAATCAACGCTAGTATGGATTTGGTTACATGATCAATTGATCAATTTATTTCACTAGGAGGCTGACTTACGTATTGCAAAAAGATCAGGTACACTGATCTAGGTGGATCGTGCAATGGAGTCTGATCCTAGGGGAGTTTGTGGAAGTTACTTCGAGGTTGATCTCATAAGATCCTATTATCATTGTACAAATGGAAGAAATTGAATATGATATCTAGTATGAAGGATTGACTGACATTTTCTTTGAGTGTGGAATTTATGGCACTCTCAAGCAAATTGGCCCACCCTTCATACGACAGACTCACCTACCTTGTTGGATTGAACAACCAAACAGGAACCTATCAATAAACATAAAAAGATGTATGGAGAGTGGATGCTGGAAAATGAAGAAAGGTCCGTCCAATCAAAAATCAAGACCAAGGGGTTGGTGCCTCTCGTAATATAAGGTCTATCTTGCCAAAAAGGATTGGACATTTTTTTCTCTAGATTGAGGCTCTTGCGGTGGATAGGGAGGCAAAAAAATCCAACGATAAAGTGTAACGATCGAGGTTGGATGAGGATCGATTCCGATAATTATAGATGGAATTGATTGAACATAGAAGCGGATTAAATAACTAGAAGATAAATGGAAAGATTGAGGAAGAAGAAGAACATGGAAAGAAGAAGGAGAAGAGAGGGAATATATGATATGTGATTCGATATCCTCCCATTACAGAAGATTCCCATTTTTTATGACATGCCAATTATAAAAAAGCCCTCAAACTAATATGTCTTACAATCAATCCTAGTCATTACAATGGCCTCCCGTTGAGAAATGAATTTGATGTACCACAAAAAATCATGGTTGTTGGCTGCCCTCCCCAAAAGACCAGACTTGTCAAATACTGCTCATTTTGTCCAACACAGCCTATGTATGAACAAGTAGGTAAGAAGGTTGCAAAATTCAAAATAGAAAGAGTTGCAATCAATATCCAGGGTCAAGTTGATGCACGTCTGCCACCATTTTTTCTTCAATAGCACCAAATGCTCCATAGGGCATATCAACAACTAGTACTGCGATTTGAACATGGTCACCTATCTTTATGATTTCAAGGTCTTTGTAGGGTTCTTTGAAGTTGGGACAAGCATACCATCCTATAAAAAAAAATCAATGGCATTGTCCGTCATCTTGAATATTGAGACATTCTCGTGCGAGAAGAAAGTTGTAACATACGAAGGAGACTCCATCGATGGGATATTTGTGGGTAACATACCACCCAAATTTTTTGGCAGATATTCCACAGAAGCTAGAAAAGAAAGTGGTATAGTGAAGGTGCATGACTTGCAACTAAGTTCAGTGGAAGAGGAACTTGCCCATTAAAACCAAGGCTACTGGAAGAAGCGTCATGTTGACTAGATCTTCCTCTTCCTAATGCATCTCATGCCTACCCAAAATAGAATTAAATTCCTCACATGTGGCACCCATGCCTAAATCATCATGATAAATATTAGATTCAGCAAAATCAGAAATCTGGTGAGGTCAACTATGCCTAAATGATGAAAGATCGTCCCCTAAAGATCCGACAGTATGCCTTGACAATTTTTCATATGCAGTGCTTTGCCTCTTAATATTGTCAAGCCTAGATGTTGGTTTTCTGGCCTTTTGCACTTTCAAAATCTAAAGCAAGCCTAGTATCCTTATCGTCTTGCTAATTCATTAAATCCTTTTACAACATTATCAAATCCGATTCCAATCAACCAGACCACCATTTTGCAAGGCATAGTAGTAACTTGCCCATCTACTCGAGCTTCAGAACTTTCCAAATCACCAGTCAATTCTGTACTCAATGCTACATTTGGTTTCTCCTTGCCACCAGCAGACGAAACTACACCAGTTATATATTTCGTCACCACTGTAGAAGCATTTCTATAGGCTTTCTTCTTGAATAAGTTAAAGAAATCATTCATACTCTTGAGTCCGGGACAAGGAAGTCTCTTCCCAGAACTAAACCTTTGGATAGTGGGGGTACTTACCAGCATATCTAAGTGGTGAGTCCGTCTTCCCATGTTTCAAACAATAGGTTGTGGAAATTGTGAGTTTTTGCCCCCATGTCCAGCTATCAAGATACCATATGGAACTATCTTAGCAGGAACGAACAATCGAGGTGAAAAAGGCCCAATGCTAACTTTAGGTTGAGGAATAGGAAAATGTAATATGGGATAGCTTCTTGGCATGTATGCCATCCCACCAAGTGCTGGCAGTGCTGCTGAAGAAGCCACATAAACCCCTAAAGAAGATCCAACAATAGTAGGTGCTTCTGCAAGAACATATGTCCATCTCTTCCCACCAATCGGATTCTCACTTCAATCGACCCCCGAATATTCTAACTAGTGCAACGAAGAACTATAATGCATACCATGTTGATTGTTAACCAAGTTGTACTAGTTAGAGTAGGTTTGTTTAGGGAAAAGCAAACACCTAAGTGAGGGGGAGGTGATAACACCCATAATGGTGTTATTTAGCTCTAGTATTTAGGGTCGTTCTGAGTCATTTCGTGGTCTCATTGGTTGATATTTCATCAAATACATTCATAATTTATTACATGAAGATAATATTGTCATATTAGGGTGTTTGAGATGATATGATCATTTTAGGTACGAAGAGGGTTCACAATTGTAGGATTATGTGAAAAAATGAGAGATCTCGGCCAAGAGAAATGAGATCACACCAAGAAGAGAGGGCGTGAAGCTGAGCATGTAGATCGCGACCTCTAGTGCCGAGATCGCGAACGTGAACAATGGAGCCAAGGGCGCAAACTTCAGAAGCATCATCCAAAAGAGGACCAAAGAGTTCTGATAGTCTACTCCCGCCTCTCGTTGTTCATGTCCGCGATAAAGATCGTGACCGTGATGTTAAGCCACGAACTTCCCATCCATCAAGGCGCAACATGGCTGCCCCTGAGGTCGTGGCCTCTCCTCCAAAGATCATTGTTTCAATCTTCCACTGGCCAGCTATGAACTTACCCGGCAGCCTGAACTCTATAAATAGGGGATCCCTTCCCCCTTCACAAGGGATCTAAAATCACTTGGAAAATTCTGGCTTGAGAGAGAAGTTAGAGACAAAAGCTAAAAGAAGGAGAAGAAGGGAAGAAGGAGAATAAGGAGGAACCAAGAAGCAAGAGAGCTCTCCCCCAACTCAAGTCTTCTTCCCTCCTTTATGGGTAGTTCTCTAAGATACTAGGGGTTTAATCCCCAAACCCTAGAATTAGGTTTTTGAATGTAGAAGGAATATTGTTAAGGTTTTTGTGTGGAATTTGTTAGTCTAGTGATTATATGTTTCATCTATGATTAATTATGCATGGGCTTGTCTCTCCAACTCTTTTCATAGTAGCCTACCACTTAGGAGTGCATGATCTAGCCAGGATTTGAGCACCTTAGATAATTAGGTGTACTTGAATGATCCTGGGACCCGATTGGTGGACGAGGTGACCATCTTCGGCCAATCGGGAGGCCTTCCAAGGCAATGCTAGAGCGATGCGTGCGTGACCATCGACATGTCGATCTAGTGTGCAGATAGATTGAACCTATTGGAAGGGTCTAGAACACATCCCTTACATCGTGAACCTGATCGAGGTGACATTGGGTAAGGGAACTTAAACCCTAAGCCCTAAGGAGGGGGCTAGTTGCATGACCATTGAGCTAGTCCTCACTTTAGAGAGTCCCGCACCTTATTTTCTCAAACCCGACATTATGACCCATTTGCATGATAGACCTAAATCTAGGGCGAGGGTGATACCCCGATGTACCTGCTTTTATATTTGCGTTCTCCACCAATACTTTCCATTTGACCTCCAAAACAATCCTAAACCAAACTACTAGATAAATACAAAGTGAAAAGTATCATAGGAGATCAAAACTCGTGGAATACGACCTTAGTCGACAACTCTATTAATAACGTCGTCTTGAATAACAAAAGTCATGCAATCGATTTAATAACCCGCACTGGGTCACAACCGTTATTATTGGGATACTATGAATAAGAAAAATCGTGACATTATTTAATGGGTGCGGACAAGGTACAAAATCTTATACTACAAAACTCACATATGTAAACATCCAAGATACTCTCATTTAACGACTCAAATAGGCAAACTCACACAAAGGGGTACAAAGGTCATTTGCAGTCATAAATAGTTCCTAAATCACATGACTTGAAATTCGAGTCTCAAGAAACTTCCAATACTAAAAATTCTCTTACAAACCTCTCTTTCTCCCGCCAACTTTGAAACTTATCTCATGCCCATCTTGCAACTAGGGATGGAAACAAAACCCGAACCCACGGGTACTGTCACGGCCTTACTCTTGGTCGTGCGGCCCTAGCTCTCAATTCCGTTAGAGATGCTAGGAAGCCTTCTCACAAGCTCTCAAACTCACTCAACTCACAAGAACAAGACACAAGAAGATGGGAGAAACTCTATAGTTGTATTGCTCACAAAAATGATGGATGAGTTACAAGTGAGGGAGATGGCTCCTTATATAGGCCTCTCCTCATACAAGGCATCAATGCCCCTCATAATGTCCCTCTACTACATCAATACACCCATTAAGTCCCCCCCATTATGCACTCTATAAATGTCACCCATTATGTGACTCATAAGTGCACCATTAAGCTCTCATTTAGGTGGAGAATCCTAGGAGCATCTCTATGCTACTAGTCTTCCATACACGCCACATGTGCAGCCGCCATGTTGTCACCTTGTTGGCGCCATGTCATCTGCCACATGTGACATCCTCCCCCACCTATGCTCGCGACGCCCTCGTCGCGTCCTTGCTACGAAATGCCTCCTTCGACCTCAAGCAGCCTCTTTCGACTCTTGAGCCTCGTTGGTGACATTCTCCTTCACTCAATCCACGACGCCCTCGTTGTGGCTCTTTGGCAGACGCCTTCCTTGCCTTAGCTTCATTGCTTGCAAGGTCTCGTTGCACCTTCCTCCAAACCAAGGATGGCCCTGGCTCGCTCTCGAGCCTTGTGCTCCCATGATGTTGCGCACTCCTCCGCGGTCTTCTCCGTCACGTCTCCAAGTGTCCCGCCTTCTCGATCATGGTGGCCTTTCCTTGCTTCTCTTGGCAAGTCGAAGATGATACATCCTCGTCTCTCATGGCTCCACGATGTTGTGCACTCCTCCTTCTCGTCCTTCTCCAACGAGTCTTCGAGTGAGTCTCTGCCTCCACCATCGTTGCCACTCCTCGCTGCTCTTGCCTTGCCAAACACCTCTTGTTTGACTCGAGTTGCTCTCTTGTCATGGGAACCGATCTTGCTCCGCCATTGATGCAGAATCTATTGGCGTAGGGAATCGGGAAAGCTTTCTCCCGCATCATGAATTCCATGCCGATGATGACCTGATAATCATCCAACGACACAACCTCAAAGTCTGCCACCCCGGTCCATCCTCCAAGCTTGAGTGGCACCTGGCGCGCTACTCCATGAGTTCTTGTGGCCCTTGAGTTGGTAGCTTTCATCCACCCTCTTTGCTTCTTCTCGTACGTGATGCCTAGCCTCTGCGCTTCACCTACGTCAAGAAGGTTGCAACTTGCCCCAGTATCAACCAAAGCTTTTGTTTTCCTTTGGTTGAGCTTCGCCTCTACGAAGCATTGGCCGTGCTTCTCGGGTTGGAGAGGCTCTTCCGCCCGCTTGATGGCGCTCAATCTCTTCATGCAACCGATCTTCGCGACATGGGGCTCCACTCTTGGAGCCTCCTCTGCTTCCTCTTCCGAACTCGAGCACTCTGCCAGTACGGCCTTCATTGCCGACAACTTGTGCTTTCTTGGGCAATCTCTCACACGGTGTGGACCATCACAAAGAAAGCAAGTAAGTGGTTTCTCAACCTTATGACTACCTCCTTGGTCCGGTCTACCACGCCTTCGTGTGTCTCTATCATAGTCGCGTCCACCTCCATTGCCTCCGAACTCCGCACGTTCCTCCGGCTCGTGGTACTCGACTAGGGACTCGGCAATCGCCATTGCCTCGGCAAGACTTTGCACGCCTCGCCGTTGTAGCTCCAACTTCGCCCATGGTTGGAGGCCGTCAAGGAAGGTGAACATGGCCTCCTTGTCGGTGTAGTCGGAGATCTCGAGCAACAATTCAGAAAACTCTTTCACATACCCTCGAATCTCTCCTTCGTGAGCAAGCCTCCTTAGTCTCGACCGGGCTTCAAACTCAACATTCTCTGGGTAGAATTGCCTCTTGATCTCCCTCTTGAAGTCATCCCATGACTCCATCACGCACGCCCCTTTATTGATATCGCCTTGGATCCTTCTCCACCACAGCATGGCAACATCACTCAAGTAGAGAGGTGCAGTTTTTACCTTGGTATTCTCATCTTGAATACCCGAAGCTTCGAAGTATTGCTCCAAGCTCCATAGGAAGTTCTCTAACTCCCTTGCATTCCTCGACCCTTGAAAGCTCTTTGGTCTAGGAACCTCCATGGTTGAGGTAGGTTGTGCAATGGCAGGTCCGTTAGCCATGGCTCTCTTCACGAGAGTGACCTTACTCTTGAGGTCTGCAATCTCCTCCTTCATGCCGACCAGCTCAGCCTGGACATGCTCTTTCACAACTTCAATGGCGTTGTTCAAGGATGTGTTGATGGTGTTGTTGATGAGGGCCACAAGCTCTTCTCGTATGCCATCATGACCAATCTCCAAGCTCGACAAACGAGCATTCATACCTTGAATATCACTTTCGACTTGGGTGAAGTTCGCTCCCAAATCCTCGATGGAACTGATGTCTTTCGCCAACTTCACTTCCACTCTAGAGACACGCCTCTCTAGAGACGTCATAGGATCACGAGTACTTGACTTGTCACCCTTTGGTTTGGGATTCTTCACGGTATCCCTTCCACGGTGCTTCTCCGCATCGTCGTGGACTTCTGATCCAGCCATCTTTGGTGAGGCTCTCGCTCTTTCTTATCTTCCTTCTTGGGGAGTGAGGACACCGGTTCTTCTTTCAGAACCAGGCTCTGATACCAACTGTCACGGCCTTACTCTTGGTCGTGCGGCCCTAGCTCTCAATTCCGTTAGAGATGCTAGGCAGCCTTCTCACAAGCTCTCAAACTCACTCAACTCACAAGAACAAGACACAAGAAGATGGGAGAAACTCTATAGTTGTATTGCTCACAAAAATGATGGATGAGTTACAAGTGAGGGAGATGGCTCCTTATATAGGCCTCTCCTCATACAAGGCATCAATGCCCCTCATAATGTCCCTCTACTACATCAATACACCCATTAAGTCCCCCCCATTATGCACTCTATAAATGTCACCCATTATGTGACTCATAAGTGCACCATTAAGCTCTCATTTAGGTGGAGAATCCTAGGAGCATCTCTATGCTACTAGTCTTCCATACACGCCACATGTGCAGCCGCCATGTTGTCACCTTGTTGGCGCCATGTCATCTGCCACATGTGACAGTACCCACCCGATCAAACTCGATCAACACGGGTAAAATACGTGTTGACGGGTTTTGGGCCGGGTTTGGGTTTAAACCCGTTCACTTTTCACCGGGTTGGATTGGGTTTGGGTTTAGGTAAACCCGACCCGGGTTTGGGTTTAAACCCGTTCACTTTTCATTGGGTTGGATTGGGTTTGGGTTTAGGTAAACCCGCCCACACCCATATAATTAATTTTCTCGATATATTTAATATTCTAAACAACTAATCTTATTTATGTTTGTGGAGACATTTTTAATTTTTTCTTTCTAATTGTGTATAATGAAGTTGATGTTATCGAGCGGAGAGTGAAGAAACTTAATTGAAAGGAAGAATCTTTCAATTAATCATGTTATTTATGGATAATTTGTCATTTGCTTCAATTTTCTTGAATTTTCTACATTGATGTTGAACAATTTGTATAGTTAATTTGTGATTTGCTTGAATTTTTTAGAATGGTATTTTATATATGGATAATTTTTATTGAGAATGGGGTTGAGTTTGAGCTTTTCAAATCTAGTGGGTTTTACCTCGAGTTTTTTTCACAAATAAACCCATGAATTTGGGTTTGGGTTTGGCAAAACCCGACCCAACCCGACTCATTGCCATTCCTACTTGCAACCATCTCCAACCGCTCTCTTTCCTTTAGGGATGGCAATTTCGACCTGACCTGTTTTACCCGACTTGTTTGACCTGTTTTGGGGCGGGTCCGACCCGCCCCGTAGGCGGGGCGGGCATGGGTAGTCTCATCGACCGACCTGCCCTGACCCGCCCCATTCTCGACCCATTCTTGTCTAAATCACATGTAATCTTAGTCAAATTACTGAGAATTTTCCTTTTATTGCATCATATTTTAGCTATAATAAAGTTGTAAATTAGTAAAAATCTCAATTCTCCAATAATTTAACTACAATTGTCATAATATTGTTTGTTTTCTTAGTCTTATAATAAAAATAACGAATATTTCTAATGTTTTTCATATAAATTGCATACCCATTGGGTCGACCTGCCCCGACCCACGACCCGTGATCAATTACTCGACCTGGACCCGACCTGCCACGGGGCAGGTCTGGGTACCAAGAAACCCGCCCCGGACCTGTCCCATTGCCATTCCTACTTTCCTTCTCAAGTGCACCGACTCCAAGTCCTCTATCACGATTCTACATGGTTCAACTATTCAAAAAGAAGCGGGACCATCGAGTGGTCAAGGAAACCCTAACCTTAACACTCCAATTTTACTTCATCTTATTTCTTTTATATGAATATTTTACTTTGTCTTCAAATCATGGGAAAGAGCAATAGAATCAAGAGAACTCTAACTAAAAAGGAAAAGAAGGTAAACAATGTTTTTGTCCTTATAAAATGTCATTCTAACATTTTTCTTAGTCATTGTTGAAACCCTGTAGGCAATTCTTATATTACATACCGTTTGTTATAAATGAATTTCATATGTTTTGAGAAATTCATTTTGATTTTTTTTTTTGTGTTTGGTATTTGATAAAATTCATTTTGAATTTATTATTTTGAATTCTACAAAATTAGAACTAGTTAGGGTGTGTTTGGATAGAAAGATTTGTATTTGGTATTTGTGATTTGTATTTCCAAATGCCAAATCATTTGTTTGGATATTAATTACATTTGTATTCGGATTTGTGCCAAATTCATGGGATGATTTCCAAATACATGTCTATTGTCTTACTTGTCAACTTCAAATACCTTCCAACAACTAGTGATTTGAAATTCTTACTAACAAAAGATTGGACTTATTCGTAAACTTTTAAAAGTTTGGGTACTATAGTGTGAATAAAAAATATATAAAGGTACCAAAATTTCAAGACCTTTTTGTAAAATTTAAAAGTTAAGGTACTAAATTGTAAGAAAAAATAAATTTGGCTACCAAAATAAGATTTTCCAAATTTTATAGTAAGTGACCCGAAAATTAAAATTAAAAATTAAAAAAATTAAAATACTAACAAATTACGAACGAGTAACCAAACAACGAATTTGAATTACATGTATTTCAAATGCTAGTATTCAAATGCACACATTTTAAATACATGTATTTCAAATACATTACATTTGAAATACACCTATCCAAACGCACCCTTATAGCAATTCCGAGAAATTGAGCTGGAATTTCTAAATAAATTCTACAAGTATTTTTTACTAATTATAATAGAATAACAAAATTATTTTAATTTGTTAACTAAATTACTTTTACGTATACCATTTGACGCAAATACACAGATTTTGTGCACGTAAACCTTCTCTTTCTGTTGATATGCTAACCTAATATATATAGTTTCTCCTAAATCCTATATTCTGAACGACTCCATATTTTATATGAGGAGATCAACGTTGCTTGGTTCAAGAGAAATTTGAATTAGGATGAAGGTCTTTAGAAGATGGATCTTCAAATGGTCTACTAATTTTTTTTCAAACTTATTTTTCACCTTTGTCTTATTAATAGGGGTGAAGTTTGAAACTCTTAATCTAATTCAATTCTTAGGGTATGCCAAACATGCTTTAGGAATTCGATTCATTTTATTTCTAAAGATTTGGATATGACATATCAAACACAGAAATTCATTTGATAATGATTTTTATAAAATGAAATGAATTCTCGATTCATTTAGTACCAATGGTACAGTATTGCCCTGTAAGTGTTTCGTAATTGTACCATAATGATATGGCTAACTCAGTCGATCTTTATGTGATTACGTTTTTAATTGTCTAATTATGGTATGATGTTGATAGGATTATGATACGATAAGATAAGATACAAAAAAAACTTTGAAAATAGCAATAAAATTATGATATGACGTAATGATGATGAAATAAAACCATAGACATAGAACTCTTATCATAATGGTAAGATCTTGATATGATCATGATATGACATAGTTGATGTCTTACCAAATGCATCATCACAATTGTCTCATACCAAATCACAAGTCAAACAAGACAATTATGTAAACATATCCTCATACAATTAGCTCATTTACTAAAATGAGACTTTTGTCCCAAATTGCCTCATTTTGAGAATGTTTCATCCAAACGACCCCTAAGATCATATGATATGATACAAAATTAGTATCAACATCTTGATAAGATTCATGATATGATGATAATGATATGAAATGAAACAATAGAAATCTTGTCATAATGGTGATATCATAATATTATTATGATGACACATATGATATCTAGCCATAGGGCTAAGATCATGATATGATGTTAAGAAATCATGTCATAGTGTGGTAAGACCATGATATAATGATTATACATTAATTTCTTTGAGTTGTTTATGTTTACATGCATAACAAATTATCAAAGCACAACATCTTATCCGTACAAGGGCCAATCTTGCAAGAATACATAAACTTGTGAAGAAGATACCAAAGTGAATGGTAGAACAACTAAAAACAATAGACATTGAAGAGTTTACTCGATTCAAGATGAGCAGAAACATGCTTGCACTGAACTACATCATAAAGTTTTCCCATTACACCAGGGGGTCGTTTGGATTCAGAAAAGTGGGTAGGGATTTAGCCCAAATTCTGGCCCACCCAGGAATTTAACAAATTTTCTCGTTTGGATAGCAATAAAAATGATAGAGATTTGGGCCACCGAGATTTCTAAATCCGGCCCACTCGGAAATTAGAAATATCTACTATACCCCAAGTATTTTAAAATTCTGCCCTATTTTTTTTTTGTTTCTTCCCAGCGTATCCCTGCGTGGCTGCGCAGTGCCCAGAGCAATCTCGCCAGAGTTGGACGCGAGAGAGAAGGAGATCGGAGAAGACGACGCAAGCTCTCCGACCACCACCGCATCCTCCTCCACTGCCGCCCCGCCACATCTCCTTTCTGTTCTTCTTCCGCCGCACTCTGCTCTTCTTCCCCTGCACCAGTCAGCGAAGAATTCAGATCTAGAATCGATCGTCAAGAATGGGGGAGCTTCGATTGGACCCTAATCGACCGCCCACGACGGAGACTGGAGAGGAAGCCACAACAAGGTCTACACCGCCAAAGGTCCCAGAGACCGCCGGGTCAGGCTCTCTGCCAACACCGCCATCCAATTCTACGTTATGAATCCATCGCCGTTTAAGTCGAACACTCTGAACGCCTCTTCCAAATCCCTCTCCACCGCCGCCGCCACGGAAGCCCCCGACTCCCCGCTGTGGCCGCCATCGATGGAGCGGTAGAAGGCGAGGAACTCGTCGAAGTCGAGGGTGGATTTTCCGACGGAGGACTCGACCTCGTCGCTGGTGAAGTGGAGGGACGATGATCCGATCCGGTCGAGGAGCCAGCCGAGCTCGTCGATGATGAGGAGGCCGTCGCCGTTGCGGTCGAGCTGGTGGAAGATCCGGCGGAGGTCGGCGGCGTGGAGCCCCGGGGTCATGATTGGGCCGCGGCGGAAGGGATTGGTTGGAAGGTTGGGGCGTAATGGCGAGGAAAGTGTGAAGGGTATGACTGTAATTTTCACTATTGCTTTCAGAATTAAATTTCCTAACTAATAAATCCCCATTATTAAACAAACAACATATTTAACACAAAATCTGGGTTTAAAATACTAGGTATTTTAATTGAGTGATTGTGGGACAAATCTCTATTTAACTAAATTCTTGATCCAAACGACCCCAGAAGATTTCCGAAGAATCTATGGCATTCCAATGGGAAAAAGTGATCGTACCTAAAGTTTTCTCAACATAAGAAACTGACAATTTGCTTATTACTCTTGAATTAGTGTTGAAAGAAAATCGTTGATTAAAAATAAAGCTCAAGGAAATTGAAGACAAGATCAGTAAAATAAAATAAATAAAAAACCAAGAAAATGACTCCAGTTGTTCTGGCTACTAATAACAGGGCGTTGTTATGTAACACTACTGGTGTATCTGCCTACCTGCGTGCCAATGATCTCATTCCTTGAAGAGGACAAGAACTGCAATTTGTGTGAGCATGTCTAGAGTGACTCAACCAAAGAGATGGCAACTAAACAACATTAGCTTGTTGCAGATATTAGGGTTGACTATTTGGTTTGGTTTTTTGGTTTTACCCGAAATCGGATAGTATAATTCGGACCGAGACCAGATAGCAAACAATTCAAACTCATTTTCAGGTTTAGATTTGAGGTAAAGAACCGTTCGGGATCGGCTCGAAAATCGGATAAAGATCAAATAAGAGACCCCAACACTCAAAATTTAACCAACTCCTCACCCTTTAAGGCCCCAGGCTACTCAAATCCCCACAAACTCAATCTAAAATGAAGACCGAATTGGGACTGGACCGGTTCAAGACCGGACCGGATCAAGACCGAACTGTATCCAATCTAATTTTTGGTCCTTATATTCCCGAAAAGACCGGATCAATTCGGGCCAATTTAACTGGACCGAACCGTATAGCCACACCTAGCAAATATACACTATAAAAAATACATATTTACTCAACCCTAATTACTATTGTTAATCGTCAAACAAACAAAAAAAAAAAAAACTATCGTTAGACATCTCTAATTTATTGAATTCATTCATGTTCATTTCTTAGCTCCAGATTTTGATTAACAACCACACTACATCACACACTCGGATCACATATTCTTGTCCAATTGCATTGTACGTGGTACTTAATGTATGCTTCTAATATAAAATTTGACAAATAATGAAATATGAAATCACCTAATATATTTAAAAGAAAAGAAAAAACAATAATCGTCATTCAAACAACTCCATCATAGACTTTACAACAACTTGTGAGAGTGCTTATATAAATCATAATATTGGTCGTCCTGTTAGATGTTTCGAGGAATGGAGAAAGGGAGGATAAACCTGACTACTGATTACATTTAATACTCTTTCCTCTTTGTCACTTGTCGTAATCGTCGACGAGGAGGTCTAGTGTATAGAAGCAGCAGCAGCAGCGGACCCAAATGGGAATTTGGACTGACTGCTCGTTTTCTGTGGTAGAAAATCATTGCCGCCGATCATCGGCACTTCACTGTCCATCAATCAGACCACGACTTCTTGACTTTCAACATCCTCCTCTCTTCCACAAGGACAAATCCACACATGATTAAAGCTAAAAAGCAACCCGTATTAGCCCCAAATTCCACAAAGGCAGGCAGGCAGGCTATAGATAATCATCCTCATTAAGGAAAGAAAGCTCCATCTCATCCATGGCTGCTGCGGCGTCTTCTCCAGCTGCTATCATGGGATTTCTACTTCTGGCAGCACTTACCCTTTTCTCCACCGCCAATTCCCAAAACCCACAAACCAGCAGCTTCACCTACAATGGGTTCCGGCAAGCCAACCTGATAGTCGACAACCAGTCCAAAATCCTCCCCGACGGCTTGCTCCAGCTCACCAACTACACCCAGCTCGTCACCGGCCACGCTTTCCACCACCAGCCCTTCATATTCGACCCCAATTCCTCCGTCCCGTCCGAATCGCTCTCCTTCTCCACCACCTTCGTCTTCGCCATGGTCCCCGAATCGGCCAACACGGGCGGCCACGGCATCGCCTTCACCATCTCCCCCACCACCGATTTCAGCCAGGCCGTCGCCAGCCAGCACCTGGGCCTCTTCAACACCACCAACATGGGCAACGCTTCCAACCACGTCGTCGCCGTCGAGCTCGACGCGATGCGCAGCCCCGAGTTCCAGGACATCGACGACAACCACGTCGGCCTCGACCTCAACACCCTCATCTCCGCCGCCTCCGCTCCCGTCTCCTACGTCTCCGACTCCGACGGCGTCAATCGAACCCTCCGCCTGCTCTCCGCCGACCGGATGCAGATCTGGATTCAATACGACGACGGACAGAAGAGGATGAACATCACCGTCGCTCCGTTCCTGACCCCCAAACCTAGACGCCCGCTCATCTCCACGCCGGTCGATCTCTCCACCTACCTCGTCGAATCAATGTACGTCGGCTTCTCTTCCTCCACCAGCACCGTCACGAGCGCGCAGTACATCCTCGGTTGGAGCTTCAGCAAAACCGGGGGAGAAGAACCCCCGCCGCTGGATCTCCGCACCCTCCCAATCTCTCCCCGCCCCGCCAAGCAGGCGAAGAAATTAGGCACCGCGCCGACGGTCGTGCTCATAATCCTAGCCATCTCCCTCGCGGGAATCGCCATGGGAGCTTACCTAATTCGATTGAGAAGGTACAGAGAGCTGACGGAAGATTGGGAGAGGGAATACAACACACAGCGCCTCTGTTACAAAGATTTGTACCGAGCGACCCACGGGTTCAAAGAGAAGGAGGTTCTCGGGTCGGGCGGGTTCGGCAAAGTCTACCGAGGAATCCTCCCTAAATCCAAGCTCGAAGTCGCCGTAAAGCGAATCTCCCACGATTCGCGGCAGGGGATGAAGGAGTTCGTGGCGGAGATCGTGAGCATGGGGAGGCTCCGGCACCGGAATTTGGTACACTTGCTAGGTTACTGCCGGCGGAAGGGCGAGCTGCTTCTTGTCTACGACTACATGCCCAACGGCAGCCTGGACAAATTCCTCTTCACCGAAGACAAACCAATTCTGAATTGGAGCGAAAGGTACAAAATCCTGAGAGGCGTAGCCTCAGGGCTTCTCTACCTCCACGAGGAATGGGAGCAGGTGGTTCTCCACCGCGACATCAAAGCAAGCAATGTACTGCTCGACGCCGATCTCAACGGCCGGTTAGGCGATTTCGGGCTGGCCAGGCTGTACGATCACGGCACGAACCCGCAGACCACGCACGTGGTCGGGACCGTGGGTTACCTGGCTCCCGAGCTTTCGCGGCTCGGGAAGGCCACCACGGCGACGGATGTGTACGCATTCGGAGTGTTCATGCTGGAAGTCGCCTGCGGGAAGCGCCCGATCGACACGCAGGCGCTTCCGGAGGAGATGATCCTGGTGGACTGGGTGATTGATTGCTGGAAGCGCGGGGCGATTTGGGAAGCAGGGGATCCCAAGCTGCAAGGCGAATATGTCAGGGAGGAGATGGCAGCGGTGCTGAAACTGGGGCTGTACTGCTCCCACAACATGCCGGCGTTCCGCCCCAGCATGAGGCAGGTGATGCAGTACCTTGATGGTGACTGCAACTTGCCCGACGTGCCCCTCGAGAGCTCGGGGATCGGGGCGTTTGCGATGGGAGGGAGGGAGACGTCGGAGTTCGTCATGTCGTCGTCGTTTCCTTCGTCCGTCGTTGGTAAGGACTACACCACCGTCACTTCGTTGTCTAGTACGGATTCTGTACTCAACGACGGCCGGTGAAATGAAGGGACCTGTGTGTGTGTGTGAGATTTTTTGTTCGATAGTACTGAGTTTAAATTCTGTGTACAGAATTCATACATTCAAAAGCGTACTCCCGGGGCAAAATGAAGCTCTCATATAAGCTTTTGCTATATTCATTCTTCTGTAATCTATCACTCTCTTTCTTGCTATATATTGAACTATACCTTTCTGTCAATGAGGTGTGTAATCTATCATTCCTCCTACCTGGGTTGAAGATTTGGTCTTTTCGCATTCTAAACGTAGCTAATAATCACTCGCCAACTTCAGTTCCAGTACAACCAAACAACAAAAGTCAACCTGCTTCTATCAGTAATTATTCTTCACACCAGGCCTAGACACCATGTTTATAGTTATGAGTTATGACCAGGAAAAAATGAGGCACTTTTACAACACCACTGCCACAATGGGAGATATTAGCTAAGTCACTATTACAAGTCAGGTGCTAATAATCCGTGTTCTTTCCCCTTCTTTACCTTCTAGACTTATGATCCTCAAATTCATAGTCCGATGGACGATCCCGACTACGCCCATCCCATCGATCATCCGCTTCGTACTCATATCTTGACTGGTACGAGTGGTGGTATGAGGAGTGACTCCCAAAAGAATCTTCATACCTGGGAGGGCTCCTCATTTCTCTATCAGAGTGCGACCTTGCAAAGGAAGGCATGAGTTCTCTAGGGCTGTCCAAACCATATTGACTTGCACGGTAACTTCCATGTCTTGGAGGATAACTCGACATAGAAGGGTTTGATACCGGGTCAACGCCTGGTGGCCCATCATCATCCATGAAACTTCTTCTAGGCCATCTTTGTTCGCTGCTGTGGTAATATCTGCCTCCTGAGTGGTCACTACGTTGTGATGGCCGGTTCTTAATAATAGTATCAGAACTCGAAGACGAAGGACCACCAGCTGCCCAAAGCTTTTCATCTGCATTCTCTGGGATTGGTGCATTTATTCCGGGAAATTCAATGGTCTTATTCATCTTGCGAGGTGGCTCGCGAGGAGGTTCGGGAATGTTGTTTCCCGTTATTATTTCTCCTTCTTCCTGTTCTTCACTGACGACCATGGCTTCTTCCTCACCAAATATTGTTATTCCTGACGGTTGCTCTTCATCGTCGGCATCTGAAAATATCATTACGTTTAATAAATGTCTAATCTACTCAATGCCCCAACTAAATGCAAAAGGTCATATGATCTTCTGGCCGGTAAGTTACTCGATTGCTCTGCATAAAGCCCAGTTCCTTTAGTGGAACAATATCATACCGGTGATAACACTGAAACAGTCTACAGAATGGAAGCTTGAACTAAGGATGCAATACTCCCAAATCCCAATGGAAGTGGTTTCATTACCTAGATATCCAGGTGGGTATCCCAGTTCTCGCATTCTGTTTAGCCAAGGGGGTGGATCAAGCTCCTGCAGTCAAAATCACAATTAGTGAAAGGTAGAAGGATCAGGCATCTTCATGCATCCACAAAGTCAAGGAACTACTGGAGAAATTAAAAGCTCTTCAGATATTTGAAAGTCAGGACAAAAAGTCAAAATAGTACGTGGACCAAATAGAAACATTTGAACAGACAGGCATACAGAAATTGCAATATGATCCTTTTTTACTGGTTTACGTGCCTACAGCTGCCAAGGACCTTACCCCAATACCCAAAAGTCTGCGTGTTTCAGCATCAAGGACACCTGGTTTCAGGCCATCATATTTCCCACCAGATGAGCTCTGGTAATAACGAATTGAGCTGCGAGAATGAGAGTTCTGATTCCTTTTGGCCATATGTTGTTTGCGGGCACTATTAACAGCAGCAGCATCCCGAGGCTTGGTGCATTCTCTCAAAGCATGGTTGTAGGCCCCACAGTTAAAACACCGTGCAGGATCACCAAATATCTCCAGACCTCTGTTAAATTCAGATACCAAAGAAAACAAACAATAAGGGATTGGACCAACAGCATGATTGAGGCTCTTAATATGGAGACCAGGTGACATACAGAAATCTGTCGTAAGAGCTATCTAGTTGAGAATTGTTTCTGCCATAATAACTTCTTACTTACTAGTCATCAAGCAAAACACCCTATCAGAGGTTTACAATGAATTATTAAGACGGGCACAGCTGCAGGAACATAACATCCTTGTGGCCCGAGAAGTGGAAATCACGCAGTAATACTAATGTATTAAATTAGGGGCTTTTTCATTTACAACTGTCAAGTGTTTTCTGGAACTTGGTCTACTTAGCGATATCACCTGGGAAGTTAGTTGGCTTATTTTACATTCACATGCATGCACCCATGTTCAAAGGGGTTTCATGGGTGAGTAAGCGTGTTCAAGTACTAGATTCCCAGTTACAGCATTTCCTTAAGAATATTTTGTAAACTTATGACATGGTGCAGCATAATAGTGGCATAGGTATTATATGAATAATAAATAATGTCTTCCACAAGTCAGGTCAAGCCTACTGAATAAAAGAAATTCTCAACTAAAGGTGATTGACAAAGTTTTCCTAACATCCAAGTTCACTGAAAGCATGAAAACACTACCTGAAGGCTATTTTTTAGAGAAGAGTGTTACCTTTCTGCATTGTTTGTGCCATCTGATGTTGTCAGACCCAAAACAAATCCACGATCATAAAGGGGTACGGAGTTGCTGTCAAGTGGCATGACGCCATTGGTCTGCTCATCTCTTGTGCGGTCGTCTATGCAGAAAGACTACACATTAAATGAAAGAGTCATAGAAAAAGTCCACACGGAACTGAAACCAGCCAAAGTATAACAGGTAAAGTTCCATAGTTTTTTCATTAGAGAAAAGCATACCGAAGCCAATTACATAATGATTCCTGTAATAATATTGTTATCATCACAGGATGTAAGCACTTTACATACCAGATTCAGAACATGCCTTAGGTACAGATGTAATGAATCATAAATCGGAAAACGACCAAATAGATACAATTGTAATGAGTTAGCCGAACCGTTTAGCTCAGTAGCCTATTGCACAAATACACGATATATGAAATTGTGGAAATACTTGTCATAGGATAATGCTCAAGTAACAACCCAGACTAAGAAAACAAGGAAGACATTATGTATAATGATGGTAGACAGGGTAAAGCAAAGGCGGAATGCAATATCCAAATTCAAAGAGTTCAAGAAAGATAATTATGCACATCATTTCAAAGATATCTGAAATAAAAATTACCACTGTACAGGACTTATCCATGCCAGTGCGTATGGCAGGAAAATATGTCTCCTCACCAGATTCTAATGCTTCGTCTGAATCCTGCAAGAATAACAACATAAGTTTGTGACTATTTGTACTGCTTGTTATAGCTGATACTTAAGGAGAAAGGAAACTAACTTGCCACCTCCAACATTCAAGTTCACTAACTTTTAATGATCAGACAAAACAAGTGAAACTGAGAAACACCAACGACACCCAATTGTTTATACGAGACAGGGCAATTAGTGTAATAATTACCCTCTAACAGCCAACAGATGAAATTCGAATATGTGCTCCTTCTATGATGAATATCACTTCTAGCACTTGATTGGCACCGCTGACTTTCAAACCAGAGGGTTGGAGTTACATGATTCCAGATTCCTTCTTCCAAACAAAGAATCCATCTAACCTCGCATTTTATTAAAGGCAACATACTGCCATATTGATTACCTATATGACATGCAGTTACAGGAGCTGCATCTGAAATATAATGAACCATTCTAGACCAAAAACAAACCTATAAGTTCACAGTATATTCGTCCCTTCAAGGACATCCAATAGGTTCAGACTATCTTCTTAGCTATTCTTCACCAAAAGAAAGCAATAATTATACATTTTAATCCCTTTGAAATTTCAAGAGATATGCACAGATTGAAAACTCACGGGTAAAAGAAACCAAGACTTACTAGATACAAGCTGTTGGTTGTATGCCATTCCGACCACTGTTGTAATAGCTCCTCGAGCTTTATTTTGCTAGCTCTGGAAAATAAAAGAAAAAATTTATTTGGCATACTCAACCAATAACATGCACATTGTCACTAGAGAGACAAAATCAGCTTAAGTATGACCAACATGATTACCATTTTCAGAATCCTTCAATGGTAGCTACTGACCTTGTTAGAGAATTATACATGACCTGCACCGAAGGTTGCTGTTGTTCATAAGTCGTCCTCGCTCTCTTAACCCCAGATCTAGCTGAAAGATAGAAGGAAAATTAAAACATAACCTCAAGTGGAGAACCAATTAAACAATGAGATGTTAATAGAATAATCAACCAGCATGCCAGACCCCTCCTTCATCACCTTTTAAAGTCTCAAGTGGCACGTCAAGGCTGCCGCTTTCACCATTCAGCATGCTAGACACTTTCTCTTCAACTGAAAAAACTTCCGTCACTTGAATATTTACATGCACAGGCGAATCAACCAAATCCATGTCAACTTCTGTTTCATCATTAACCTGGCCATTCATATTTTCGGTAACCTGGCCATTATGAGTTTCAACATTGTCTCCACTGTTAACAAATTTGTCACAACCTGATCCACCTTCGATTCCAATACTTGTACCACCAGCAGCATGTTCTGTGCTAGCTTCAGCTCCAACATTACCCCCACTGACGCACAGGTTTTCTCTATTTGTTGCATCTTCTTTACCTCCAAAATCGTGAGATTGAAAATCATCACAACTTGGTTGTAGATCAAGTTCGTTAGCCTGACTTGTACTGTCCAAATTGCACCGATCAGGGCTGTCACTGATTTCACCAGGTTCCATATTCTTCACCCAAAATGAAATTGCCCCTCTTATCAGCTCCACAAACCAAGCTACTGCAAAGCTTAGCTGCAAAGGAAATTAATTAGAGTAGAAATTTCAGTCACAGTAAAAGTTAAGCTTCAAAATCTACCATGTCGGAAGATATCAATATCTTTAAGTGAGTGTTTCCATCTAGAAACTTTCAATCAGAAGACGGCATTTGAAGTTCATGTAACAAATGACAAATCCAAGAAAGCAGCAACACAACTTCGGTCCTAGCTGAAAATGCAAAATGATAGCTCACTTACAACGTTAGACAACGCAAACAAATTGAGCCTAACAAGAAGCAAAACAAAGAAATTAAAATTGCTAGCTTTAACACGCTACACCAAGGATAAGTTCTATTATCCGAGAAGAACAAGAACAAAATCCGTTAGCTTAATTGGAAAGAAAATGGAACTTTAGAAACAAGCCTTTACAGTCAATTGATAAGAGCGCTCGTCAGCTCAGCTCAATCTTTCTTAAAAAGGAGAAACGGAGAAAGGATTAGAGAATTCAAAATTGACAAATCTTTCTTCACCTATAAGGGAAAATGGAATGGTGAAAGCGACGTCAGACACAGCAGCCCCAAATTTTCCCGGAAACCAGACATGCAAACAAGAAAGAAGCGGAAGACAATGGAGAATTAGGGTTTTTGAAGCAGATGGTATTTTACCTCAGACCAGTGGAGTCCGTCCGTCTGCTCCCGCTTCTCAGCCTCCGGAATGAATCTGAATTCAGGAGGAGAATCAAGAGGAACGACGAGGATTTTGAATTTCGCTGCTTTGTCTTTAATCTCGTTGATTATTATTAGCTTCAATTTTCCCGATTTACAGACATGGATTCGTATCGAATTCGAATCTCTTCTCCTTTTTATCGGCTGGGTGAGGAGGCGGACCGAGCAGCGAGGAGGAGACTGGGTGAGCTATTGGAGGGAGTTGACGATCAAATCTGGCTCTGTTGGATCGGTTTTGAACATTTTTAGCCACTCACTCAACCAATGAGTCTGAGGTTCAATTAAAAGTATAATAGGTCAAAACAACAATTATTGTAACCGAAACCGATCCGATTATATACATTTTCGGTTTTTCGGGTTCGGGTTTGTTTTGAGTTTCGGGTTTTTCGGGTTCCGGCTAAAAACCTCCAATGAATAGAACTCAACCTGTATTCTTAGGCGTTCGGGTTTTCGGGTTTTGGTTTTGCTTTAACCGAACCCGAACCCGATAAGGAATTTTCGGGTTTCGGATAACCGGAACCCGCAAGTCCTTATCGGGTTCGGGTTCGGTTTTAGTGGTTTTCGGTTTCGGATTTTCAGGTTTTTTCGGATTTCGGTTCAGGTAACCGAACTCGACCCGAACTGACACCCCTACTTGTCACTAACGTTCTAGCTATAGTTCCTTTAGCATGTAGCGAAAGTTCGATTAGGAATGATTTAGTGCGATAGAGTATCATAATAGAATATGCATTGATGCATGTTATTAATCGGGAAGTAATGCATGATCATCTAGATGAACTTTCTTAAATAATTGTGTATACTTTATTTATCTTGTTTATCTATGTTATCTATCATTTACTTTACTTGCTTTATTTATCTGTGTATATTTTGACAACCAAACTAAAAGTAGAATACTTGACTCATGCTAACTATACCTATCATGATCAAAGGCCAAGTGCGACCTTCAACCAGGTGTATTATATTTTTGAATTATCAACCTGGGTTGTTTATCTACCTGTACTCCAATGAACTAACTATTATCTAGCGATAAAAAAAAATCATTGTTTTAACTACTAAACTAAACAAGCATGCAAGTAATTGTGAATGGATTCAATTGAGGAAACTTCACTCGGATGAGTTTCCCCCTTAGTCCTATTTCGAGTTCACGTTGTGATACCCTATCACGATTCACACTTAGCATAACCCGTAGAGATCTCTAAGCTAGATAGGAGTCCCTATTCTAGTTGTCTTATCCCACCCATCATCTCCGAATGTCACATGCAAGCGTATGCGCCCCATTACTCGGGTCGGAGATCCTGAGAACCCTATCAAGAACGAGTCTGATGGCTCAACAAGTTCGGCACCACTTGCATCTTTTTGAATTTTTTTCGAAAAGGACGTCCATAGAGCTTCTCATGTCGACAAGTATTCTCTTGACCAGACATATCGTGACCATGCATTGTATCTCCAACGCCTCTGTCGAAGGAAGCCTACCGCCTCCTCAGGGACTTTACTAAAGTTGATTTTCACTATAGCCCTTGCTCTAGGCAAAGCATTCCTAAGTCTCCGCTTCTCTTCCAATGTCTTCCTTAATTCTTGCACTCTGGTTATAGCATCTATGGTCAATCTAATGTGCCCTGGATTGCAAGCCTGGTCGATTATGGAAGGGGGAGGGAGCAAATTTGTTTGGTCCGCTATACCCACAATAAGCCTATTTTGAGTAGCGTACGTGCGATGCATTTTTATCATCATTCCTTTTCACAAACTCGTTCAACATTTCCCCATCTACCAGGCCTTGAATCTCAACTATCAACTTCTAGCAATTGGTCGTGTGGTGTCCCTTTTCTCTGTGAAATTCACAATACCTACCAAGGTTACGTTCATTTGGTTGCCTGCGCATCAGACCTGACCACATTACGTGGTATCTCGTATCCTTTACATAGGCAAGGACATTCTTTAGCGTGTCATTGAGTTTGATGAAAGGTGGCGCACCCTGACTCATGGGTCTCTGAGCCTTTAAGCATCGTGATGGGATTTGAGGCCATCCCGCTCCGGGGCACATCTTCCTTGAAGATCCTCCCTCGTTCAACTTATCTTTACGCCTATCGACCCTCCTTGCAGCTAGTGTTTCCTCCAACAGTATGATCTTTTCTACCCTATTGTCTAGATCCTCAGTTGAGGTAACATCTATTTTCAAAAGCGCCCGACATAGCTCTTTGCTTGTGGTGCACTCTTTCAAACATCAACCCAAAACGGGAGGCTGAACGTCTTTTACTGCAATAGCCACCAACACCCACCTTTCATAAAACTCTCTTAGTGACTCCCCCTATTTCTGCCTGATTTTGAAAAGCGTTCCAATCGTCAGCATCCTGCTTTCTACTTGCAAACTATGACAAGAACATGGCCACGAATAGCTCAAAAATGTCAATGTACCCTTATTCAATCTAATGATACCAATCCATGCAAGACTATAACCCAAATCCAACCTACGATGCTAAGGCCTTCACAAGGCGATATCGGATGCTTCCTGCCTTATTCAACCAAGTAATGAACAATGTTGTTTAGTACGATGACTACTTCAAGCAAGGGAGAGATGTTGTGGGTCGCGATTCATTCTCCCCACATCAGAAGCTTACTAGTGTATTCCGCATGATTGTCTATGGATGCTCGGAAAACTCTGTGGATGAGTCACGTCGAATTGCCGAGAGCACTGTATTGTTGTGTTTGAGGAAATTGTGCTCGACTATAACCAATATTTATAGTGATCAATACTTGCGTGCAACAATAGTAGATGATACTCGTTGCCTCCATCATCATGCTACACAACATGGCTTTCGGGGCATGATTGGTTCTATAGACTGCATACATTGGGAGTGGAAGAACTATCTGACTTGGTGGGCATGCCAATTCACTAGGCACAAGAAGAAACCAACCATTGTCCTTGAAGCTGTGGCGTCGTACGACATATGGATTTGAAATGCCTTCTTTGGAATGCCTGGATCGAACAATGACATCAACACTCTAACAAGCAGTACAAGAATGAAGGTTTGGGAACGAGTTCGGGGTCGATTGGACGAAGATTGGATGTTGGGCGAGAAGCCAAGGAAGCCACACGGGCACGCCTAAAAACCCACACGACCATGTGACCTGGCCGTGTGACACCAAATTGCACGGGAAAGCCACACTGGCTGTGTAAGGGAACCCTTGTGGCTGTGTGGAAAGTCCAGGGAGCTCACACGGGCAGCCTGGAAATCCACACGGCCGTGTGGTTTTGGCCGTGTAGCATACCTGAAGCCACTTAAGTGAAACGCGACATTTTGCACAATCACACGGGCAGCTGGGAAAGCCACACGGTTGAGTGACCTGGCTGTGTGGTCGGGAATTTCTGGGTTTTAACCCAAATTCGAGCCAAAGGAGAGGGAATCGACTTTTTGGAGCAAAAACAGAGCCCTATAGAGAGAAAGTGCTAAGAACACCCCCTAAGAGTGGTTTTGGAGCTGGGTTTCATCAATCAAGCTTGGAAATCATCCTTGGAGTGAAGTTCATCATCCCAGAGCAGATTCTTCCCATATTGATGAGTATGACTGCTTTGTTTGTTGTTTTCCTCTCTCTCTCTTTATGGAGTAGAACCCTCTCTCACTTGGGTATGAAGAACCCTAGTTCTATGTGTTAGGAATCATTGTTGTAACGACGTTTGGATTGTGATATTGCTTGATTATAATCTATTGAAGTGTTTTGATTGAGTCAATTGAATCGATTATTGATTTCTGCTGCAACCTGAGATAGATAGAATCTGATTAGGTTGTTAGAGTTAGTCGATTCAATGCTTTGTACTGGAATCTAATTCTAGTAGAGGAGTTCTGTGTTCATTGCCTCAGCGTTCTATCCCGGTGAAGACTAGTCGTCTGCCGGGTAGTTTGACTGAGAGGGCTTGGTCAACTTAAGAGATTCCAAGCTACTGTCGGATCTTCCGCAGTATAATCAGCAGTAAAGCAACTAAAAGTAATTACAACTGAGACCTAACTAAGAAGCTAGGGGGACTCATTCCCGAGTGACTCTTCCTTTGCTTCAGAAAACCGAACCATTTTCTGCTTTCTTACTGCTTTTAACTTAAATCAACAATCACTCAACTTAGTTTGCTAGATAACAAATATACACGGAGTAGGCAGTAGATCTAGACCCCGGGTTGATAATTAGAACTTGCCACTTAACTGCATTTCCGGACTGCGATTACACTTGGTCGCAGTTTGGTGTTGTGTTTTAGCGTGTCAATTATCATAATGCATTTCTATGTTATTTGCATGATAAAGATGGTACTTGCATTAGCCATTGAGGAAAACGGACATCAAACATAAATCAACGACATGAAAATTACAAGGAAAAGCATACATAAATCAACTACATGGAAATTACAAGGAAAAGCGTACATCAAACATAAATCAACTACATTAAAATTACAAGGAAAAATGTACATAAAACATAGCACAAAACTACATAAAGATTACATATCGGGATCATCTTGATAAGAAGCCACAACGTCATCTTTTTGTCTCTGATACCAAGCCCGAGATCGAGAACTCATTTGAGAAAGATCCTTTATTATTACCATCATCGCTTGCCTGTTCTTCTCCCTTAAATTCCCTTGTTCTATCTTTTGCTTCTCTTTCAACTTGGTGTTCCTATCTAGCGAGTGCTAGCCTTGTGTGTGTGTGTGTGTTAAAATTATCCACCAAAATGGTCACACTCTTGTCTCAACTTTCTGAGGAAGAATATGGAGTTCCTCTATTCTTCTTATTTTGCTTATCCCGACCTTTGGGATGGTTGATCACAAAAGGAGTAGTTTGAACGTTGGGGTATCACTTTCGCCAAATAACATGCCCGATGAAGATCAACACCGTTGGTCAAATGGGTAGCATAAGGAAAGTAAATTGTTGTTGGAAATTGAAAGGCTTTCTGGTGTCTGCCTTGAAAATATTTTTAGCTCATTCAACCTATACAATTTTAAAAATTATTTTTAAGTAATATAAACAAGCTAATCAATTAACAAATTAAATGCATAAGAATTCTTATTTTCACTTGACTTACTACATCGTTGAGGTTTTCTCCACTCATTGTTGTCGCGCGTGCTCTCCGTTTGGACGTGAAATTCCCCTGCTATTCTCGGGCCCGGATTGATGATAATGACCGAAGGAACCATCCTCCGAAATTTAAATCCATGAATTGCACAAAACTTGATCTTCTGACTCCTTCCAATTTGGCGGGTTATTGCCTTCACATAATCGGGAGTTTGGGAGGAAGATCAATTTTTTGGATGAAAAGAAGATGAATATCACAATTAGAGAGAATTGAGAAGGAAAAAATGGAAGTGATGAAGTAGAAGTGGAAGAATAGAGGTGTATTGAGGTGTATTTATATGAGAAATTTGCAAAAATATAGTTGTTGGGACTCAAAGAGTCATTGGGGGAGAATCTGGGAACTGAAAAGTAATTTTTTTTATTTTTTGTTTGTTCTCCAATGATCGAAAAGGAGGAGTAGCCACAAGTGGGGTGTGTGTGCCGCATGCGGGCTCGGGTTTGGCCGGGTGTGCGCCTGGCGTGCATGCCCCTCTCCCCGCTGCATCCCTTCTGCTTGCCTTGGTGATCCCCTGTTGTTTGGAACTTATTGTCGGCTTGTGCTCCAATTTTGGACCCAAATTTTGCATAATTGGATTTTATGGAATTTTGTAACCCTCATTAAAAGGGATTGAGGCCAAATTTATGCATTTTTGGCTCACACTAAAGATGGTCTCATGATTGAGGTTAGATAGATATTCAAGTTTCATTATATATGTTCCCCTTTATTATTCATTTATTTGTTAGTTCAGTTCTGGGTCATTGACAATGAAAATCAATGGTATTGCACTATTGCCTCTGCACACTTACATATTCTTCATATACTAAATCATTAAACAATTCTTAGTGCATCTGAAAAAGCTTTTTTAAAAGCTAATGATATTGCCTCAGTACACTTACATTATTATTGGTTCTGCATGATTTTTGCAAATTGCATCAGTTGGTTTACTTGTATTATTCCATGCTGAGATGTTTTCTGACATTAACAATATCATTGCAGCTTAGGAGTACTTCTGTCGTATCATTTGTAGGTTACTCATTGATGTATTGGAGGCCAGGTGGGTGTAACGTTTGTTTGATTCTGCAATTTGTTTGAACTGGCTCTCGGTTCTGTAGGTAGCTTAGGAGTTGGAGATCAATCTTCAAATTTGTTTGAACGGCCGTGTTTTTGTCCCTGCTCGGGTATAAGTCTGTTTCCTGCGATTTTAGAGAGAGAGAGCTGGGTTTTGGTTCCCAAACACCCAAGGGACGAACCCTAGAGAGAGAGAGCAACTTGGGAACATTCTTGGAGCTATTTTGTAGGATTTCTTCGCCATTGGAGCTCGGGAATCAAGCTTGGAGATGGAGATTGAAGATCTAGATCAGATTTCTGCAGTCTCTCTCTTCTCTATGGAGCAACTTCCCTTCACTTAGATTTTGAGGAACCCTAGTTCCATGTGTTAGGATCTTTCTTTTATGAAGTTTTGGATGCTATATTGTTTGATTATAATCGATTGAGGAATGATTTATAGAGTCAATTGAAGCCTGATCACCTTCTCTTGATTTCTGCTTTAACCTATGATAGATAGAATCTGATTAGGTTAAGAGAGCTTCCTTGATTGATAGTGGTGAATTGGTTGTGCGAGAGTCAATCAATTCACAGCTTTGTACTGGAATTCATTCCAGTAGTGGAGATCTGTGTGAATGGCCTTAGCAGTCTATCCGGTGAAGGCTAGTCGCCTGCCGGGTATTCTGTCTAAGAGGGCTTGGTCAGCTAATTTAGGGTCTTTCGCAGTTTAATCAACAACAGATCAACCAAAGGTAATTGCAACTTGGATGTAATTGAGGAGCTAGGGGGAATCATACCTAAGTGAGTTCCCAACTTGTAATTAGTAGAGTAGTTTAGTAAATCAATCCTTAATCTAGTTTGCTAGATAATAAACTGAAGCTGAGTAATAGTAACTCTAGAGACCCGTGGATTCGATATTTATTACTTGTGCCACTACACTGTAGTCCCTTTCATTGGTTACACTTGGCCATTGTTAGGTGTGTTTTAGCGTGTCAAGTTTTTGCCGCCGTTGCCGGGGACTTTCTAGATTATTTGGAAAGGCAGAAGTTTGTTACTTTAGCGTTTTTTTCACCCTTGCTTTTCACTTGGGTGTTTTTGTTTTTGTTGGTGCAGAACTGAATCATGGATCCTAATGGCTTCTCCAACCAGTGGGGGTATCCACCACCATCTGAGTGGTATTACCCCGAGATTTCCTGGAGCAATCAAGGAGAAGAAGACTATGGATTCGGGTTCCAGTACCAACCCCCTTACTACGGAGAACAATCAGACCCCTGGGCATATCAAGAACAACCTCCTTATCAAGAATAATTCCTCCCACAACCAGAAGGGCCATCAGATCTCGATTTAGCCATAGCCCTCACGGGCCATCCGGCAGAGCCATGCTACACACCACAACCAGATCCAAACTATCACTTGAGGCTTCTCGTGGAGCAGATTGCTCGAGTACCCAAGAGATCCGTTCCCGAGATGGATCCTCATATCTAGACCATTGCCCAAACTGACTTCTCCTTTCCCCGTGAAATAGAGGATACCCTTCGGAGAATAAAGAAGCAAATAGAGGTCATTGAGAAATCTTTTTCACAGTTTTCTCAAGACAACCTTTATGCTGACATACAAGTAGAGGAGGAGGAAGAAGAAGGCAATCATGAGGATGTTGAGGAGCATACAGAAGTTGTCACGGAATTCTCCCATGATAATCATGATCAAGTGTATCCTCTGGTGGTAGATCACAACTTTCCCCATTTCCGCTCTGACATGCTGGGTGAGGGAGGAGGTGCAAGCTGAACTTATTGAGAACCTTGCATGGTGACTTGCTCTCCAATCTGTTATGGAAGAAGAAGAGAGAGAAAGGGTGAGGAAAGAAGTTGTGGAGGATGAGGAAGAAAGCAAAGAAGAGGTAGTTCTTGATCTTTTCCAAGGAGAGAGACCACATTTTGAAAAAGGAAGGGGGGTGGAAGAAGCGAGTGGTGTCCAGGATGAGGATGAAATTGGGGTGGAAGAGGCTTGCACCGGCCCTATAATACAAGTAAAATCCCCACCAAAATTTGAGGAATTGCTTAGCAAGGACCCATTTGCAGTGTCTCTTTGCCAGACCAAGACCACATCGACATTGGTCCCTCTTGGTGGACGTGATGGTGGTCAGTCGATACGGTTATATTTGGTTTGGGGCAATAAGACAAGAGAAGAAACGAGGAAGAGGTCTCGAGGGTGGAGACTTCAGCTGCATCAAGTGCACGAGCCTTCCTCACCTGTCATACCACATGCTCGTGACTTGAGACTCCACCTCATCGACGAGAACCTCAACTTCAAAGAGGTTTTGGGGTGGACCAAAACTTCGGAGCCATCGTCCGGCTCACGGCGTGAAAGAAGCGCTTGTTGGGAGGCAACCCAACTAGTCGGTTTGCATTTCTTTCCCTATCTCTCTTTGGTTGAGTCAGTTTTGTTCTTTGATTTTAGAATCAATAACTCAACCTTTGTGAGATTTTGTGTGGTGTTTGTGTTCCGACTACTCTCTCCTCCTGGAATGCCCGCCTGCCCCGTCTACCATCATTCACCCTTGATCTGGTAACTTCGTTCTACCCTCCTTATCTTTCTTCCATTGAGGACAATGTCGTGCTTAAGTGTGGGGGGATGTTCGATTATGTATGTGTGTGAATGTTTGGCTGTATGTGCGTGCTTGGAGCCTAGTCCGCTGTCCAAATCTCGAGATTTGAGGGCTCCAAGCACTGCTGTTTGCGTGATCGTATTGGCACTGTGGATTTGATTGGTGAATCCAATGGCTTGCGAATTAATGCATGAAAACTTGATTGTAACTAGGGCAGCCTATAATGATGACTGAGCGTGCAATAGAGTTGTGTAGGGGTTCAGTGTTTCAACTGTTTGCTTACCAACTGTGACTTGGATTGATCACTTGTTTTTTACAGTCGTTTATGCATCTAGTTTAGGGAATCAAAATGAGAGATAGAGCATATAGGTAGCCATGTGAGATTTGAGCAAGCTCGTTTCTTTCTTGTGAGATAGATCCCTCATCCATGATGTGTAACATTCACGTTGTCATTAGCTAAGATGATGGAGGCATAGGAATAGCCCACTACCAAATTGACTGTCCTGTTGTGTCATACCCCCCTAGTCAGCCCCTTTGAGCCGTGTCACTTTCTTTCGTTCAGTCTACAATGAAAAATCACCCGTTTGCATCTCTTAGAAGGTTCCACAGAGAGTTTTTTGCATGTTCTTTGTTGTTCCTGCTAAAATAATGTGAGGGTTGGAGGTAGTGCTTAAAAGTTGGGCATGTGTTTAAAAAATGTGCAGATCAATAAATGAAAAAAAAGAAAGAAAAATGAATGAAACCAAAAGAGAGCCACTACCAAAAATCTGAATCATGCTCATTAAGTAGTGTTTCTTAGCAGTCTGGCTTAGAAATACTAACATTATTGTGACCTCCTTCGCTCTTGTGCTCTAAAGAATTTGAGTAATGCAGAATGACAAAAAGAAAGTAAGTGGTTTGATTGGCTGTGAATGTGTTGGGTTTGGAATTGTGGAACCTTGTGCTATGAATACTTCCACCACCTATAAGGCCTTTTCCCCATGTCCAAGACCCTAATCAGTCATCTGAACCTGTGTCTAAGACCTCCGGATTAGTTAGTGGTGACATCCCTTATGTGAACTCTAACATTTAGAGGCTGCCATCAGGGTGAAGAGACGTTAGGGATTGAGAGAATAACCATGCGCATTTTTCGCGTCAAATTGTCCTGACCCCACTGGTCGAGAGTGAGCGATTCATTTCCTTGTTCTTTACACTCTTTACCCCGGTGAGGACCTAGATGGCTCGGTCTTGATTCTAATGTCTTGAGTTTTATGCATAAAGTGACTATCTTGGATAAGTGGTTCAGTCGAGTCTATGTTGGTTGGTGAACAGAAGGGAGACTCCTCCTTTACCCGACTTTGCTGCACTCAAATGTCATCTCTGGTGGTTGTCCAGGTTGCTGTTGAAGTTGTCCATGTGTTGATGTCTAAAAGCCATTATGATTCCCGTGTTTCGTGCCTATATGATATGTCCCCAAGGGTTGCATGGTTAAAATATTTTGAGCTTACCTTGTATCTGACTTGGTTTGCTTGGGGACAAGCAAACGGTTAAGTGTGGGGGGATTTGATGACTCAATATTTGCAGATGTTTTCCCCTTTGTTTCTTGATTGTTTAAACTTGCATTATCGCTTCTTTGGCCTATTTTACGCTAGGTTGTGTTCCTTTGTCACATTTCAGGTACCAAGCGTCGAAGGAAAGGCTAGGCGCAAGTTTCAAGTCAATCGGATATCAATTGGCGATTCGGGAGAAGAAACTCGGGCATGACCTGAAGAATGATGGATTTATACCTCATTTATGGAAAAATAATCATGCAAGCTTGTCCTGAAAAGAAAGAGGACGAGACTACGAGCGTCTGGGATCAAACGGCGATTGATTCGGAGTCCGGACGAGGGAGAAACGAAGCATTGAATACAGGGGAACATGTTCGGCAGTAAAAACACGGGCATGGTACCCTCAAAACACGGTCGTGTTTCATCTGGCACCCGCTAGTGTTTTTATGCCGAGCCTCTCTTGTGAAGACTGCTGAAGGGATTTAAAACACGGGACGGGACCAAAACACGAGCAGGACTAAACACGGCCGTGTTTTTGTCCCTGCTCGGGTATAAGTCTGTTTTCTGCGATTTTAGAGAGAGAGAGAGTGAGAGAGCTGGGTTTTGATTCCCAAACACCCAAGGGACGAACCCTAGAGAGAGAGAGAGAGAGAGAGAGAGAGAGAGAGAGAGCAACTTGGGAACATTCTTGGAGCTATTTTGGAGGATTTCTTCGCCATTGGAGCTCGGGAATCAAGCTTGGAGATGAAGATTGAAGATCTAGATCATATTTCTGCAGTCTCTCTCTTCTTTATGGAGTAACTTCCCTTCACTTAGATTTTGAGGAACCCTAGTTCCATGTGTTAGGATCTTTCTTGTATGAAGTTTTGGATGCTTTATTATTCGATTATAATCGATTGAGGCATGATTTATAGAGTCAATTGAAGTCTGATCATCTTCTCTTGATTTCTGCTTTAACCTAAGATAGATAGAATCTGATTAGGTTAAGAGAGCTTCCTTGATTAATAGTGGTGAATTGGTTGTGCGAGAGTCAATCAATTCACTGCTTTGTACTGGAATTCATTCCAGTAGTGGAGATCTGTGTGAATCGCCTTAGCAGTCTATCCTGGTGAAGGCTAGTCACCTACCGGGTATTATGTCTAAGAGGGCTTGGTCAGCTTAAGAGATTCCAAGCTAATTTAGGATCTTTCGCAGTTTAATCAACAATAGATCAACCAAAGGTAATTGCAACTTGGACGTAATTGAGGAGCTAGGGGGAATCATACCTAAGTGAGTTCCCAACTTGTAATTAGTAGAGTAGTTAGTAGAGTAGTTTAGTAAATCAATCCTTAATCTAGTTTGCTAGATAATGAACTGAAGCTGAGTAATAGTAACTCTAGAGACCCGTGGATTAGATATTTATTACTTGTGCCACTATAATGCAGTCCCTTTCATTGGTTATACTTGGCCATTGTTAGGTGTTGTGTTTTAGCGTGTCAAGGGCGGGGAGATCCGGAAGAGCAAGGAGAGAGAAAAACACCACCAAAATATCTCCAATGGTCTTTTTATTTGAATGGAAAAGAAATGCGAACTGTTGATGGTTGGGTTTCCTCCCACAAAGCGCTTCTTTAACGTCGTGAGCCGGACGGTTGCTCTTCAAGTTTCGGTCCACCCAAGAACTTCTTTGAAGTTGAGATTCTCGTCGGTGAGGTGATGTCTCAAGTCACGAGCATTGGACGAGTCCATGATTTAGGGCTCGTGAACTTGAGTGGCTTTGAGGCTCCACCCACGAGACCTCTATTTCTCTTTGCCCCATACCATGTAGTGCAAACTCGATTGGTTTCCATCGCATCCACCAAGAGGGATCGCCGATGGTTTGGCCTTGGCTTGGCAAAGAGCCGCAAATGGGTCCTTCTCGAAAAGCGCATCGAGGTCAGGTGGAAAGCTTTCATAGCCCTCGTAACTTGTGGATGTTTCATCCACCTCTACCTCGTCCTCATCTTGGACGCCACTTTCTCTTTCTACTTCATCGTCAACCTCCCTTCCTTCTTTTTCAATTTCCTCCCCTTGGGAACACTCGAGATCTTCCCCCTTTTCAATGCTTTCTTCTTCCTCCTCCTCCTCAACCTCTTCTTTCTCATTCCACTTCATGTCTTTAAGCACTGTTTGGAGGGCAAGATGCCATGCAAGATCATAGAAAGGATTTTCTTGCTCCTCCACACTCGCGATTTTGTCTTTAAAGTTTCTCTCGAGAAGGTGAAGATGATGGGAATCATCAATGCAACCTTCTTGTTCGTCCTCACCATAGGAGCTCTCCGGGGTGAGTTCTTCTTGCTCCACACGGTTGTCATTGATCACCCCTTCAACCTCCTCTTTCTCCTCCAGTAATGAGAGGCGATAACGTTCACAAGCTCGTGCCACTTTCTCTTCTAGTGTCAAACCGGGAGGAGGGACGGGTTGGAAATCCATGTCGGAGCTCATTCTTCCAAAGGTCTCATGGCTTGCCTCTACGACCTCCTCTTTCTATTCTTCAAATGGCAGGAGGCAATTGTGAGCACGTTGTGCACATGGTTGCTCAACAAGCTCTCCTTTCCTCTTCGTGCGTCGAAGAAGCTCCTCCGATTCTCGAAGAAAGGTTGAGTCGATAGGGCCGATGATGGGAAGGTCCAAATTGGAGCATTCCTCGTTAGTACCTCGGGCAAATTTCTCCACCATGAGCTCCCAGTTTCTCTTTTGCTCCGGTTGTGGAGTGGCACATGGTCTTGATGATTGTCCCATGAAGGCTTCCATGGCCAACTCCAACTTGGATTTCTCCTCGGGCTGTGGAGGGAAATCTTCTTGATATGGGGAAGCCTCTTCATACCACCAATGGTATGGTTGTTCTTATTGGAAGGGGTGTTGGTAATAGAACCCGAATCCTTGGCTTCCCCCTTCTTGTTCACTCCATGAAGCTCCGGGGTACCCCCATTCGGGTAGTTGTGGATACCCCCACCTATTGTAGAAGCCATTGGGATCCATGATTCATAACCTACACAAACAAAAACACAGAAACAAAATCAAACAAACACAACCACCCTTCAAGACGAAGAGTGGGTAAACAAAACACAACACGAAACATAAAACACGAACAAAAAAGGCAAGATAGAAAATGCTAAAGTAAAACTAAGAGACCTTTTCAAAATAATGGACCGCAACACTCTGACAACGGCAACAAAAACTTGACCCACACAAAACACCACACTAGAAATTCCAACTAGAACCCAAGTTTTTAAACTCCAGAGGGGTGCAGAATAAGGCAAGTAAGTTTTAATTATCAACCCGGGCCGATCCATGTACCCCTACTTCAATCGCTTAGGTTGTTATCTAGAAAGCAACTTTTGGGTTTAGAACTAATGGAACTACAAACTAAACAAACAAAGAAAAGAAAATTATAACTAAGGGAGCTTCACCCAGGAGTTGATTCCCCTTAACTAACTACCATGACTCGCTAGATTGAATGGAGTCGTGAGGTGTAGGTGGTTGTGAACCGCGGGGGTGAGCAACTAGGGATCGATTTGTCACGGAATCAATTCACTAGAGATCGATTTGTCACAGGATCGATCCACTAACCAAGTCTAGGGGAACCGCTAGGAGGAGCAACTAGTGATCCATTTGTCACAGGATGGATTCACTAGAGATCGATTTGTCACAGAATTGATCCTCTCACTCAGTCTCTAGGGGTTTCCTAGGTCATCCCTCAAACCAGAGTTTGAGCGGCTTAATCACAACCAACCTAGATGCAAACTTGAGTCAAGGGGGATGCTCTTCTCAAACCTAGATAGTAGGCACAAAGTGCCCAGGAAAACCAAGCGTGTCAAGCCTACATAAAAAGGTGTGGTTTTCCTCTAACCTAGGTTAGGCAAGCACACAAGATTTGGAAAGCACAACTAAGCACAATCACCATGAAGACACCTCTAATACTCAAATTGATGCAATCCCACACCAAATCATTCAATCTAAACAAGTAATTACAAAGTATTAGCTAGGGATCTACAACACCTAAGAGAAAAGAGTGAGTTTCTAGAGAGAGAAGAGAGAGATTACAATTTTGAGCTCAATATCATCATCATCTTCTTCTTCTAGGCTTGAATCCTTGTCTTCAAGATCCACCCAAGCCTCCAATGATGCTCCAAGATCACTCTAGCACTCTCTCTCTCTCTCTCTCTCTCTCTCTCTCACACACACACACACACACTAAAACTCCCCTTTGGTGTTTTTGCCCTCCCTTCTCTCTCCCCACTGTTGTCTTCATATTTGCCCGAAAGTGACCAGTTCACGGACTCGTTAGCCAGTTCACGGCCGTGAACACCTAAACGCGTTCGTGAACTCAGTGTCGTCCACAACGCACCGCTTCACTCTCCTGGGTTCACGGTCAATGGCCCCAGTTCATAGTCTTAGAGACCATGAACTCGAGTGGCGTCAGTAACTTCGGTAAGTGCCCTGGACGCCTTGATGTTCACGACCCATGCCTCCTCTTCACGGTCTTAGAAGACCATGAACTGCCTTGTCCGACTGTGAACGACAGCTGTTTCCTGGACGCCTTCACTTCACTGTTATAGGGAAATTGTCACGGTCTTCGGACTTATCTTTGGTTTTTGCGCTTTTTGACCTCCAATTATCCCAAAACTCGTCATCAACACTTCCACACGTGCTAGGACCTGAAATGTATCAAAACAAGCACAACCTAGCATGAAATAGGTTGAGGAACGATGAAATACTAAGCTAAACAAATAAGAAATAAGGGGTAAAATGTGTATATTTGGGCCCGAATCAATTTGTCAATCATTTCATATTCTTCTTCCAAATTTTCCGATTTTACATTATGTACTATTTTTAAAGAATCATACAAAACTCCACATTAATTCAAACGACTTCTAAACTTTATACATGACCAATAGTGAATAGAACAAGCAAATTAGATTGAAGATCAATGATACAATTTTGAAATATATTAAACAGAAGAGTATGATAGACTTGATTACTCAAAAATTTGTATGCTATTTCTTTATGTTGTATTGTGTTTAGTTTCTATCATAAGCACAACACAATATAATATTGTGAAGCGTGAACTATTCACAATACAACATATTGTGTTCAATATTGTGATGACTTTTTATGCTTCATGCTTAATATTGTTTAGTTTTCTATTGGTTGATTTTACACTAGTCTTCAACCAATAGGAAGCTAGGGTTGTGATAACTTTTTATTAGCTAGGTTGATCTAGTGTAAAATCAAAGCAAGAGTTTAATTATCATTATGAAAATTATGTTTAAATAATTATAAAAATAAATAATTGTAAAATATTCTTTTATTTTTGCCCCAAAATTTTGGTCAACGGAATCCGGCTGCCAGTCACCAGAATATACTATTTGTCGTCGGAATCCTCTCAAACTCGTCGGAATATGCTCAACGTCGTCGAAATATGCCCACCATCGTCGGAATTCGATCACCGTGATCGGAATATGCTTACGGCGTCAAAATCTGGTCATCGGGGCCGGAATATGTTTATCGGCTCCGAAATCCGATCACCGACGGTCATCGGAGTTTGGTCAATGATCTTTCTTTGATCGGTCAACGATCAACGACCACTGGATGTTATGGTTTGCATTGTGCGATTTATGGTTTGCTTTCTCGTGTTTTTTGTATGCCTTTTGTGGTTTGCTTTATCGTGTTTCTCGTTTGCATTAAGAAGTTTCTAGTGTGCTTTCAAAAACTTTATGGTGTGCTTTGCAAGGTTTCTGGTTTGTTTTAATATATTTGTGGTATGCATTAGGACGTTTCTGGTTTGCATTTTGTGGTTTGTTTTACCGTGTTTGTGGTTTGCATTAGGAGGTTTCTGGTGTGCTTTCAAAAATTTGGTGGTTTGCTTTGAGGGGTTTCTAGTATGTTTTAGTGGATTTGTGGTATGTATTAGGGGGTTTCTAGTTTGCTTTTTCTGGTTTGTTTTATCGCATTTGTGGTTTGCATTAGGAGGTTTTTGGTGTGTTTTAGAAATAATTGTGGTTTGCTTTGTGGTGTTTCTGGTATGTTTTAGGCGATTTGTGGTTTACATAAAACTGCAATTTGAGTGCATTGATAGTACAAAATACTACGTATTGAAGCCTTGTTTACACCGCCAACAGCAATACCCTCATAGCAAGATGGAGCAACCTAAAAAAGAAAAAGGGGGCTAATGGAAGGTTTTGTTGCACAAACTTGAAAGAAACTCATTCGGTAGGATTGGTAGAACATTAACACACAATTGTTGCGAAGAAGGAGAAGCCCATATAGGCAAGGGCAAAGGATTCTGCTCCTTCATCATGGGAGTTCAATCTCAGAGGAGAGAGGTTGGGGTTGTGGTGGCTTCGACTTCAGGAGTTTAACGATGGACACCACGGTGATGCCCATCGTCATGAGAACTGAGAAGCTAGACGTAGGAGGCAAGAATGGCTATTCCGTTAGTGAGATTAGTGAAGTAGACGAACCACTCCTATTGTTCGATGCCTGTGATGGTGGATTCACCATGGATGAGGTTCCTTCTTCTCTGGCCTCATAGGTCACGATTCGAGTGACGATGTAGAGACAATGGAGTTGAAACGCTGGCGAGGGTTTTGATTTTTCAGGGAAAGCCGAAAGGGGAGAAGAAGAACCGAGATCTAGCGGGAGTGTGAAGGAGTCGGGGTTTGTGGTTCAGCACGGAGGGGAAAACGCGTAGGGTTAATTTTTATTTTATAATTTTCATTGTTAATTTACCATTTTACCCTTGATGAATCCTGTTGTTATAGTATTCGAACCCGGGATCAAAGCAGGCCAGAACGCTTTCATCCGAAAAAGACAAATTATGAAGAATGTTCTCCTAAGACACAAGCTAATGCATTATTTGAAAACCAAGAACTGAGGGAAGAAGGGGGTACATGGCTCTAAAATTTGACATGGAAAAGGGCTATGGTAGAGTCAAATGGCCCTTTCTCCTTGCGGTTTTGGAGAAATTAGGATTCCATCATACTTCGATACGTTGGATACAAGAATGTCTCAATTCATCATCGTTCTCGATTCTGATGAACGGTACGCCATCTGGGTTCTTTAAGCCCTCGAGAGGACTCCATCAGGGTGACCCGTGTCCCCCTCTTGTTTGTGTTGTGCATTGAAGGGTTTGCGGCCTTCATTCACATAACCATTTCAGAGGGTAAACTATAAGGGGTAAAATATGCCCCGCGGGCCCCTAGGATTTCTCACATGTTTTTCGCCGATGACTCAAACTTATTTCTCAGAGGCTCGCTGCAAGAATGTGAGAACCTCATCGAGGTGTTAAATGAGTATGAGGAACTCAGTGGACAACGGGTAAACTTGAAAAATTCAGCGATTTGTTTCGGTAAGAATAAATCCATCCCGGACCAAGAATTCCTGGCTCTGATTCTGGGGATGGGGGCAGTGGGAGTGCAGAATAAATATTTGGGGCTTCCCAACCTGATATCCCAGTCTAAAATGGCCACGTTCAGATTTTTTGAGGAAAGGCTATCGAAACGGCTCCTAGGTCCACAAAATGTTGTTATGTGCGGCAAAGGAGACTTTGATTAAATCGATAGCCTCAGCTCTACCTCTGCATGTCATGTCCTGTTTCAAACTCACACTCTCTCTTTGCCGAATCTTGAATAGTCTTGTGGCGGGGTTTTGGTGGGGGGTAGAGGACGGTCATTCCTGGATCCGGTGGATGTCCTGACGTAATATGTGTCGTAGTAAACATGATGGGGGCATAGAGTTCCGAAGATTCGAGCATTTTAATCAGGTGTTATTAGCCAAGATTGGCTGGAGAATACTAAATGATCCCCATTCTCTCCTCACACAAGTTTATAAAGGTAAATATTTTCCTACATGAGCTTTTCTCACCGCTATCGTGCGGTCTCGTCCCTCTTGGGGTTAGCAGAGTATCCTCTACGGACGTCAATTATTAGTGAGGGGGTTTCGTTGGCAGATTGTGAATGGCCGGTCGGCTTCCATATTGCACTCTAGTTGGATTCCCCGCCTGCATCCCGGAGGAGGGTGATCTTAAGGTGGCGGAAGTAATTAACCCTAGTGAGGGATGATGGCCCAACATTAAACTAGCCCAGTGGTTCCATCCAGACACTTATCGTGCTATCCAAACTATCCCTTTGCCTCACCAAGATATCGAGGACAAGCTGATCTAGCACGATATGTGTGATGGGATTTTCACGGTAAAATCTGCGTATAACCCGAATGTACTGTTGGATAAACAACATGGTAGGTGGCGTCCCACGGCTAGCTGGGTGGATAGGCAAAGTTGGATACGTTTGTGGGATTCCTCGATTCCTCTAATGTTGAAGATCTTCTTATGGCAAATCTTTCACTAAATCCTCTCGACAATGGAAGCCCTCATTGAGAAGGATGTTCTAGTGCCTCCCAAGTGCCCGGTATGTTGGGTAGAATCCAAAATGATGGAGCATCTCTTTCTAGAGTACCTTGTGGCCAGAGCTTTGTGGGATCATGCTGGTCTGGAACATTTTGGACAAGGGCTACCGTGCCATACTTTTCCCGCTTTTCCTGAAAAGTCTGTTGGCTCTCATCCAACACCCGAACCAATTTATGGCACTTGTCACTATGCTTTGGTGGATCTAGAAGTCTCGCAACTTGGTTGTCTTTGAAGTAAAACAGTTTAGGATCCCAACTCTGATGTGTCAGTACCACCAGCAACTTCATGAATGGATTAATCTTCCTATGGAGAGGGTGATGGGGCCTCCCGCACCTGGGGTTGGTAGCGTGCACCTAGCCTTCCCTGGTTCTATTATTTCTATGTGGGATGAGGATACGAGTTGTGGGATCCTTCGGCTAGGGGAATGACTATCCATGATCAAGGTTGGGAGGTCATATTGGCTAAGGGAATCCATTTTCCTGGGATTGATGATCCTATGGTAGTGGAGCTCCTGGTCCTCCGAGAAGTGATTCAGTGAAGCCTACAAAGGGGTATCTCGATGGTAAGATTCGAAGGTGATGCCAAAGTGGTTATTGATAGAATCAACCGAGCTAATGACTGTGATAACCAAGTTGGTGCAATTTTCCAAAAGGTTCTACAGTGTCTGGCTTATCACATAGGGTTCACTATTCGATTCGTAGGTCGGCGTAGTAATAGGGTATCTCATTTGGTGGCTCGTAAGGCCCTTTCATTATTCCCGACTGCTTGTCATTCATTTAATTTTATTGCTTGGTTGAATTCTAGGATTTAATGATCGTTCATTCAATCAATTATTGATTATGTTTTGTATAAAAATAATAATCAGTAACTTACTTCCTGAAATTAGTTTACATTCATTAAGAGACTGCTCCAACGCTGCCAATATTTGGCGTGAGATCCTTCCCTTCAACCCATTTGATTTCTTCAGCTTTTCTCTTTGACAACGTAAATCGTTATGGGATTCAGGTGGAGTGACTGGTATTTGGCGGTTATGTAATCTGTCATTTGCTGAATTTGTTTCTTATTTTCCATTTGTACCCACACACAAAAAAAAGATAATCAAGGAAACTGCAATGAGGAAGATGTACCATCGACATAAAAATAGAAAAGGAACGATGCATCAACAATTATGTTACAGGCTTACAGCATCTGCAGCGGCAGTAACAATCCTACTACATGTAAAGCTTGACTACACAGAGGAGAGCCCCCCCATGACGCTTCTCTCTTCCCAAACAAACACACTAGTTTTTCGACGACCTAAAATGGGCTGATGTGCCCAGCCAACCTTAACAAAACCTCTGGAACCAGCCGTCTCCTTGCAGGTGCCTTGGCATCTTTGGCAAGAGCTTCTGCATCCCCAGCGTGTATTGCGGCCACTATGTGTTCGAACAAGTCGTCTTTGCCACCTCTCAAAGGATCCTGCAAACATCAAAGGGCAACATTTGATTCCATGGACTGAGATGGCTTCAAGGCAACTTTTAGTTTTAGCATCATAATAATACTCGACTGACGCTAATAACCCACCCCCCAAACTTACCTGCAGAAACAAGTCAGTATGAGTTTTTCCTTTGTACAGAACAAGCTCCGCCTTAGCCCCTAAGCTTTGAAGAGCATCTACAAAATCCTCACTGCATAATGGAAGTGTCAAGTTAGAACTTCCAAAGACATTTGCTTTCGCTAAATCACAAAGTACGAACCAATTTCAACATTAAGCCAAACGGGTCCTAAGTTGATAATCGAGATGACGGGTAAAGAAAGCCATTCCATCACAAGCACATTTGCATCATAATAATGCTGAAAGAAAATAAAGGCTCTCCGACCTCGCGCATGGTGGCATTGATCTGTCCGCAGTTCCATGAAAAAGGACGATGGGTGGCAAATGACAAACGGCAGCTTTGGCACTTGGATCTTTTAGTCTAACTTCAGGCGAAAATTTAGGCAATGATTCCTCGCCTTCCATTATGCTGTAGCCACACATAAGATGACTTGTATAAGGCGACAAATATGTGCAAACACTGATCGAAAATAGAACAAAAAAAAGTTAACAAGTTGGAATTGTGCAGTAGGTTCCTGCGAAGTTACCTTAAGAAAAGGGAGCGATACAGACCACGGTTGTGGAAATGGTCAACCAACTTTAATAGGTTGTACCTGGAAATATGGGAAGTCATACGCAGTGTTGAAGCTCCATCATGTTGGAAACTCAAAGGCCAGACTTAATACAGTGAATGCATATGCTTATCAATATGGTTAAAAGTGCAATTGCCCTTGAATTTGACCAAGCTGATAAACGTTCACAAGTGGTGGCCAGTCGACATACCCTCCAGATAAACCAAAATAGGCTTTTATTTGGGAGACACTCCAGCATGTGCCCTTCTCTCCCTTTGCCTCCTTAAAAGCCTGGTCCAAGAGAGCACATGAAGAAATATGCGCACCAGCAGATTGCCCCATTAGATAGATCCTGCTCAATAAAAGAAGACATCAAGAACCAAAATTGAAGAGAGGGTGTAAATAGGGAAAGCAGAGGCACTATCATAATCACCTGTCAGGGTCACCTCCATATGCAGAGATGTTGCTGCAGATAAATGAGATTCCTTCAGACGCATCTGTTACCATATCACCGATCGTTCCCTGGGGAAAATTCCTGCAGAAGGAAGAAAAAGACTGTAATGGATGCAGGTCAAAGTTTGTCCATTGTCAATAAGTACTGGTCGAGTACAGTACTAATTAGTGGAATTACAGACTTGAGACTTCTAAGTTCTCAAACAAACAAAATATTCCTCGGAGGAAAGCAGCTGTGAGCTCCTATCTACATGTGGGAAATGTCTTACGCTCCACTTGATCAAAAGGACAATTTCACACTCATGCTTTCATGATCGATCATCTCAGTTTGTGACAAAATATTCTGCACCTATGATCATTCCTCTTGAGGAGATAAGAAAATGGGAAATGAGCAGAGAGATTCAAACATAAACACTTTCTTTAACTGTTTTCGATATTTAAAAAATACATAACTATTACTGACAAAGCCAACATGCGAAGCTATTCAATCAGTGATACTTCCACCACATACCTGTAATCGATGCATGCAACAATGATGTCTCTCTCTGCCAACTGCTTCCCAAGAAATGCACCCCATGCTTTGTAACTTTATAAGAACAAATACACATAAATTAGTACAAAAGGTGGCACCTTGATATTGGTCTGATACTTATGACTATATTTTTCTTTTGAAATGCCTATGCGTTCTCAAGAATGAAAACAAATTCAAGCCCATATGAAAGACACATAAAGGTCCCATAATATCGAATATATAATTCCATCAATGTTTTAATAAAAGAATCAGGAATGGAAAGTTATTGGCCCTTCAGATTGTACAGGCATCAATGAAAGCCTTCACCACCTCTTATTCAGGCTAGTTACCAATCCTACCACACCTTATCAACTTGCATTCCAAGTGATGCGAACCTTATTAACTTGCATTCAAAGTTTTCATCATGTTTGCAGACTATGATATGGCGAGTTAAGAAAAAAAGTCAATTACACACCCTATAATCCAAGCACCACCAGTTACGAAAATGACCACTGGCTTTGGTTCATCAATGTTTGCAGGAAAATGTAGATCCAACCTGTAAAATTTCCATGAGAGGCAAAGCGAAGCGTTAAATTGACTGCTTTCAACAGACGATTGAAAACATTACAACTCATAGATTTATCAGATTCATATACCGGTTTCTGGGTTGGTCACCATATGTGACGCTACGCCTCACCTGGCTTGAAAAATAGTAGTAATATGCAACTGCAGAAAATAAGAACCAAATTTATGATCCTCACTAGCATTTTTATTACTAATTCCTATAATGGCACAATTGAATTTCATTCAATTATCACCCTCATTATCGTGAGGTTTTAGTGCATGCCTCTTGATTGAGATAAGAATGAAGAATAGAACGAGGCAAGAAGGTAATGAGGGAAACCAATAAACGTGGGCAAAGTCCAACATCATATACAGTGGAAATGAGAATGAGAAATGAACCAAATTCCATCATACACGCTGTTCTAATATTTTGACAATTGCAAACTTACATTATTCAGCTTCCCAGGTGAAGAGACTAAAGCTAGACAGATAGTCCAGCTAATGACAATGAAATCATAATTGAGTATCGCTATAAAAATAATCAGAGGCAAATGACTTGATATATCGTTCCTATTAATGGCAAATGATCACGAAGATACAGCATTTTACAAGAAGATCATACTCTTGGAATAGTCCAATTCAAACATATGCTAATAGATATGGTTATAGTCACCCTGTGCAGCTTAAAGGAACTTGCTATATTCTTGCTCATGCATGCCTAAACGTTGGAAGGCATTGAAGCATATTTATGTATTCATGGGCACTACCAAAAGGTTTCTTGATCAACAATGCACACACCAGCAGGGTTTCATAGAGAAAGTTAACAGATGTAACTAAATTGTCAGAGGACTTAATGGTAAGTCTTTGAAGAAGAATACTATCGGCAGAAACGAAGTTTCGCATTTGTAAGCAAGGAACAGAAACAGATAATTTCCAATAGCTAAATTTGTGTAATAAAGCAGAGACACCGACCTTGAAGGAAGCCAGGCATTAGAAGCATTGCATAAAGGGCAAGAGCGGCTAATCTCGTGATCCATCGATAACCTAGCCTGAACAAAAATAAATGATCAAAAGCTGACATGCCAATTGAACTCCTATAGCTGAAGTTAAATCCTAGAGAAGCATCAGGGGCAGCAAGTGTTAGTTATATATGACAGTTTCCCTAAAAAATATTACAACATCCACGCAAGACCTGGGCCACATGACCACCCCAATCAATATATGAAAAAACAACCAACACCAGGAGGAAATATAGTTGGAAAATCAACAAGCATACACATGATCTAAAAGACCTAATAATGACTTAGCTAATGATTCTAAGCCAGCACCTAGTAACTGCATAATTGCATCAGCTGGAATGGGCCCAAATCATTAGGCACAGAAAAGATCCTCCATGATGTTAGATCAACAACAAAGAAATGATGTATCAGATCCGCCATAAAGTTCTTTTCCCCAACCACAAAAATTGAACAGTAAAACCTGAACATGAAACTTCCTAAACCCACAACCATAACAACGAAGAATTAATGACTATCCCTTTCTCAGACTCAAGTTTTTCCCACAGTAATTCTCCAGATCCTAGAATCTAGACTCGACATAAGTACCCTACCAATTCATCATCAAACAGTAACCAATCACAAGGCAAAAGCAAACACCAAAATGCCCCCGTTTCTGCACCTCAAATTCCACAGGACCGTCGCAACCTAACTGAGAGAGAAGCGTCGAAACAGAAAAAGCACAGACACTGACGGGCGTATCCGTCAAGGTCAGCCTAGCCTAGTGGCTAGTACTCATGCCAACATTTCCAATCCCAGCTCTCAAGGCAGAGAATATAATAATACCCGAGGTATCGGAGAAGCTTGATTGCGAGTCGAGTGACGAGGTAAGTTTCGCAGGCTGCGTGGCCGATGTCTTGACGGAAGGACTTCTGCCTCTGAGGCCGTCTCAGCTTTGCCACCGTACGTCGACGCGGTTGCTGTTGGTGGTGGTGATGCTGTGCAGAAACCAAATTGGCGTCCCTGGAGAGCAGCGTCTTAGTGTCTGTTTCGTCGTCGGCCAACTTAGTTACGGAACCGGAGGAGGAAGGGGAGACCGCACGGCGGCGATCTGCGGCCTGAAGAATGGCCGGAGGAGGCGAAGAGCTGGTCGAAACCGCCATCAGCGCCGTCGGAAGACGGGCGGATGGCTGGGGAAGAAGAAGTTGGAATGATACCCTTTCTTGAACGGGGAAGAGGAGGGGGGAATTCGTAGGCTGGGAATGGGAGGTTCTCTCCGGCGAGCCGAGGCAGAGAGGATTCTGGATGAAAGAAAAAAAATAATAATAATATTTGCGGCCCCAAATGATGCCTGCTAGGTTGTCGAAGGTCGAAATCGGAGCCGATTTTTTAAAACAAAGGTTTAACAATTAACGTCTGGAAAGCCTGAAAGAGGAAGGAGCTCTTTATTGAGCGGAATAGAATCTGTGAACTTTGTAGTTTGTAGTAATAACTAACTAATAATTTTTGGAATATCATGCAGAAAGTGTCCAATAACATGCGGTATTTGAAGCAAATTTTGATGCTGCAGCCGAAAATGTGTCATATTCCATCTTACAAACCAATGTGAATCGTGGTTTTGAACGGTGAATGGTTAAATGTGGTTGATTTTTAAGAATACACGACTTTCGAAATCAATGATTTATTTATAATATGCGTGGTTTAAATGACTTTTTATATAGTAGGTTGGTTACAAAATGGTAGATTATTGGTCTTACGAATTAAATATTAAAGTTCTCTTATTTTTCTTGTGATTATTTCGTGTCTTTGCCGCTTGTTGAAACCCGAAAATTCTTATTGCACTTTGGATGTCGCCCTCACCAGAACACGGATTGCGTCTTTTTTCAGCCCGCAGTTCCCCCGTGCCTCCTTCGCCCAGGGTTTTCCCGACGTCTTCCTCCTTATTCCGACCGAAGAAAAAAAAGAGGCATGGGAAATATATTCCCCCCACCCCCGGGGAGAGAGAGATGATTTTCTGATGATGGGATTTTCCAACGACAACAACAGTTTTGTTATCTTTGTCGGACTATTTTTGAATGTTTGTAACTCTAGTTTGTAATTTTTTATCATTTCGATTTGTAGCATTTATTATTCTAGTTTGTCATTTTTATCTATTATGTTTGTAACGTGTATATAATAAATTTTTATATATTGTAATTTGTAATGTTTGTTTGTCTAGTTTTTATACTTTATGTTATAATTTGTATACTTTGTATTCATTGATTGTAATACTTTATTGATTTGTATCGTAAGTAGTGACATTTTGTATTGTGTGTATGTTTTGTAATGTTTGTCCATTATTTTTGTAATATTTGAAAGTTTTGTTATTTTTTACTGTCTGTCGGGTTCTTTTGTAATGTTTCTAAAGTCAACCCAGCTGTTTTCCATTTTGTATGGTTTGTCGGTCTAGTTTGTCATTTTTGTCCACCATGTTTGTAATGTTCGTATACCTAAAAAACAATCGGGTTGACTTTGGGACGAAACTCCGGATGGAGCCTCCAAAGTCAACCTGGTTGTTTTTTTATTTTATATGGTTTGTATTGTTTGTTGGTCTAGTTTGTATTGTTTGTCGATCTTGTTTGTATTGTTTGTCGGTCTAGTTTGTATTGTTTGTATAGTTCGTATGTTTTGTATTGTCTGTAAATCTGTTTGTATGTTTTGTGGTTCTAGTTTGTGTTGTTTTTACTGTTTGTAAGTTCAGTTTGTATACTTCGTAATTTTTCATAACACACAAATTACCCCTGTCAATAATTAAAATCTCTTCTCACTTTATAACTATTAGATTGATGTGTCTAGATCTAAGGGCTAGGAGGGGCTTAGTCAAGTGACTAAGGACCCCCCTTAGTCATGGGATTAGCTCTCTTTACTATGGAGAGGCCTCGAAGCTCGGGCTATTGAGTCACTCAAACTTCTCCTTCATAATCCCCGGCAAATTTCCTCATGGTGGATTTTTTTTCTTCGTAGCTCATAATGCCAACCTGCTCAAATACCACTATTGGAAACCTCGTGATCTAGGGCGTTCTCGGGTCGAGTTCTGAAATTAGGAATTTAATTAAGAATAGAGATTTATGAATTGAGATAGATAATTGGACATTATGATAAATTAGGAATTTAATTAAGAATAGAGATTTATGAATTGAGATAGATAATTGGACATTATGATAAGAATTTAGGGGGGATTGAAGACTGAATTGGAGAAGAAGAGGGAAGAACGGTCGAGGCCTTCAGTGAGAGAAGGACGTAATTTCAGAAGATTGAGATAAATTAAAGTTTGAGGATAATTTTTGTAATATTCGTCTTGATTGATTATAAATCATGTCTCAAGTTAACTTCAAACTGGACGTTCTACCCAAGTACATACTTATAGAAAAAAATACTGAAAATACGCCAATATGACTAGACAGAACTCGGTTTTCAACACCAGTAGTAGCGTATTGTAAACCAACACTCAACTTTGAGTTAAGTAGTATACGATTTATCTTGTAATTTCCCAGACAAACACTCCTTGGTCGGGGATAAATAAATTGTGATCCAATCACGGCACATATATATATGTCAACTTGAGCGGGCTTGTCGTGCAGATGAATGAACATGCTCATTGTACTTGAGTCGACGACCCAACTTTGGCTGGAATTTCTTACAAGTGACAAATATTTGTTGAAAACCGGCAGCCACAACATATTGGTTTATAGCACACATCAAAGTAGAATAAACAGTATAAACAGAATCCTTTTCCCTGCATAATGATTAATTAAGAAGCAGCAAAGGTTTTATTTCATCATGACTTTAAATTGAAACCATGCAAAATTCCTTTCGGGAATGAAAGACTGTCATAGTTTGCCTGTCCTAACTCTGTCATAAGTAGAACAGTTCAGTTTAGCTCTGTCAGCATAGCCATATGATAATACGAGCCTACTCTTCTACTTTAGACCAAAATCATCAACGGTGGAGTTCATTTCATCCACCCGTCCATTCATCACCAATTTTACGCAGACATTCCTGCTCTCTCTTTGTATGTTTGCTACCTAAGCCACCATTTTTGAACAGCAGAGATTGGAGCGTTCAAGAATGGGCAGTAACGGCTCACAAGTGGGTTCACACTCCTCCCGATCTTGGTCCACACACTTTGATGATACCCAGCAGTAACTGGAGCATGGTACATCAGCTTCAATAGCTGCCCACAACAAAACCAAACAAACAACAAAGCAGCAACTGATTAGAACCACATTCACCCTTGAACATCCCAAAATGAGAAAATGGACTTATATTGATATTTGTGAGACGATGCCAGTTTGTCAATTTTAAAGTATAAGAAAGCAGTCAATCCTTTCAACCCGGTTCAGATATACACAGGGAAAGGCATAAACTATGTTTAAGCTAAGTTCAAAAGGGATGGATCATCAAGGAATAAATTTCTTTATTTTACCTGCCAGTACATGAACGTTTGTATTATGTTTCGTTGCCACCTGGAAATGCACAAAAGAATCTTAGTAAAATCGTTCCCAAATACAGGACAAAAGATGAAAGAGAAGAGTGAGGCATTGTAAAGAGGGCATCAAGCATAGACAGGCTTCCCCCAAACTTACGAGAACAAAGACAGAACTAAGAGGAACCCAACCCCAATCTCTGCATGTGAAGATAGAATACTAAGGGTGGTGGTGTTTGATTCCACCCAGACACAAGGGTCTTCAAGGTACCTCCTATACAAGTAAAAGCAGGACATGGTCAGACTACACAAAATTCAACCGATTCAACCGAAATGTAAAACAAGATCTCTACCTGTACAAGGAGGAACTGTTGAAGTTACGCCTCAAGAACTTAGCAACATTCAGCAATGCACGGCATAGAATAGGGATTAATGCAACTGCTCAAACAGTTACCATCATTAGCGCAAATCATCCAACGAAGCCAGTGAAACAAAATTCAGCACAAGTCCCAAAAATAAGAATACTCACATGTGAGGCATAAATTTGAAGTGACAAAAGTCAGGCAGTAGATGAAGTAGATGAAATCTTTGGTTGCAATTATTGACTGCAAATAAACCTGCAAAGCCTGCAAATTCCATGCCCTAGGCCTCTGCAGAAAATCAAGCTTTGTCAATGACATATAAAACAAGAATTTGGTGGGTGTAGCAAAAGGAAAATAGGCAGTACCCCATATAGCATGTACAGTGAATACAGTGATGAACAAGCAGTCCCCATGAATGAAAGACGATATGCTCTATTGGAGAGACTTCTAGGCACAAGAGGGAAGATTGCCAGCATAGCCACAACAAAAACCTGCACCACAACAACCAAGCGCTTAAGGTTACCAAATGCATGTGAAATGGAGTAGTACAAGAAGACTTGTGACACGAATAATTTTCACACTCGATAATTTGGCAAGGCTTCAATCAACAAGAAAGATGAATAACCTCAGAAAGGGAAGTTCATATACACAGCACTTCATTCAAGCTCTAAAACCCAAAAATTCCTAAGCCATACGTTGCTCCCTTGTCTCTACATGATAAGGAGGACATCACGCTCCAAAAAGGCTTCAGAAGCCCGGGGATATACTATCTTCAATAACAGATAAAGGCAGTGAATCTCCCTCTCAAGCATGTGAAACTTAACTACATCCAGCATCATGAATCACTTGTTGTACCCTGAAGGAACCAAACAAGAGAAAATGGAGCATCTACGGAAGCTATTTAAGAGCTCAAGCATGTTCCTACATGTGATACTTCTGGACACCATTCAAGCCTTTGGAGGCATTCCACCATCAGATAATAGTAAAAAGCTAAGTAAAGTCAAGCTCTGCCTTTTCAATTCTCGATCCTCGACTTTACAAGGTGGCAATTCACTATAGTATTTAACACACTTTCCAGACAGAAGAGATAGTATCTACTAGTTCACTTCTAATTAAGCAGAATTGACACGAGCAGAACTGAAGCAGTTTCAAATTCGTAAATATTGGAATGCCAACTTCATGAGTTTTTTCTTTACTTTTCCATGCAGAAAAGGCATCAGAGGAAATTAAGCTGATTTTTAGCTCATGTTGAGACAAGAAGAATCAATCTTCAGGCACTTTCTTCTAACTTCAAGTACCACGTTAGTTGGAATCAGCACCAACAGTTAGCCAAAGACAAAGCCTATAAGTTCATCGCTTCATGACACCTACCATGGAACCTGAAACCTAGACTTGCATATATCAAATACATACTCATTCCATCAACCTATCGACCAATGATAATAAGCACATCAACCACAAGTGTGTCATCCAACTTTACAAAAATGTAATAAGCATTGATAGAACATAGAGTTACCATTCAAAACAAGCACCCCAAACTTGGAACAGTGTCGAATGACACAGAAACTGTATGTCAATACAAAAAGGAACAAGATCTGAAGCTTCAAATTCAAAACAACGATTAGACCATATGTTTCAAAAGTTCTGCGCGTATGCAAAGCAAAATAGATTATTAAAATAAACATTACACTTTGATTAGCTCATCAGCACTAACTTATTGAGTTTGATTAGTTCAAACTCAATAAATTAGTTGACTTTCACATAAATTAAGACACTAAAGGCAACCCCATAAAGAAAAACAATAATCCTTACATCACCGTTAATATTATTTTCACTTTGATGTAAGACACTAAAGGTTAGTGAAACAAGTACTGCTATAACCATAACTCAGACTTCGCTTATCTATCAGCATGATATTAGAAAAGTGAAGCAATATTTATGTCTGAACTAAATACATTATAAAACTTAGCAATCCCACAAAGACTTATATCATGTTCAATATTTCCCACATAAATGTAAGCTGCTAAAGGTCAGTAGAAGCAACTACGGCAGAAGTATAAAAGAATAGCAATTTACCCAAGCGTTGATGGAAAACTGTATAGTTTGGCGATCCCAGCGTACTGAAGTTAGATTTTGGCCAGCAGCCGGACTTGCTCCAGAGTTCGTGGTAGTTGAACCTGAGAAATATTGATACTATTTAATTAAGTAAGCTGGTTACTAGCATGGTTTATTGATTATATATGTTCTTTTGTTTGCTGTTATACATCACTTGGAACAGATATATGACCGAACTTCCGACCTGTGTTTTGCTGTCGAGGTTGCTGATTTGAAGATCCCGATGGTGATGATGAAGCAGCAGCAGTAGCAGATTTTGTAGATTGAGAAACGCCGGTCGAAGACATAGCTTCAACTACAAGATCAGGATCCTGCCAACGCAACATGTCATAATTCTATCATCCAAAAGCAAGTGTTAATACATCAGCACATAAGCATCCTATCTGTAGCACCATCATCAAAGTACAATATTAGCTTAAGCCCCAAGCAAGTGCAACATCCAGCATGAACCTCGAACTGAAATGCTTCGAGGCACCAACAACAGCGGCATATGCCACAATTGCTAAGTTTGAAACAGAAATGGCAGACCACAGAATGAAGAGCGCCTAAGAAGGCAGCCAACTAAGGGCCTGTTTACTTTCATTTCTGTTTCCTGTTTTTGAGAAAACAGATGTTGAAAACAGGTGAAAACAACAATTTGTCGTTTTCGAAAACAGCAGGAAGTTGTCACTTTCTGTTTTCATAGTTGGAAACGAATAGAAAACAGAATGAAAAGTAAACAAGTTTTCTCATTTCGGTTGCCAAATTTATCACATGAAAACAGAAAACTGGAAACGAAAATGAAAGTGAACAAGGCCTAAAGATGGCAGATGAACGAATGACGACGCATATTTTCCAGCTCCATCAATAACACAGATGACACACTTAAGATTCCACAAGTAATTCAATGGGGCTCCTACCCAAATCTACCCAAAAGTCAAAACAGTAGTAGAAATCAGTAAAACCCAGGTCTTGCATTCACAATTCACAATTCCGACTACCAATAAGAAAACGGGAAGATAAAGAGCGAGAGGGGTCGAAGTGTACGGACGATGTAACGCTGGTAGAACTTGCGCTTGAAGTGCTGGACAACGTCGGCGCGAGAGGCCATGTGGGGAGGGATGAGGATGTTGGACCAGTAATCCGCCCATCTGGGGTCGTTCTCGTAATCGTAAGCCGCCGCCGCCGCTATTCTCTTCAACTTCTGCGGATCCTCCCTCTCCTCGCCCATTACTACTGGAGGAGATTTTCCTACTACTCAATGATCTTCGTGTGGGTCTGTGAAGGATGAATGCTTCACGGGATGATATTTGCTCCTCCCAAATCGGGTCCGCCAGGAGAGAGATTCAGTGGGTCAGGAGGACTCTGGAAGCAGTGAAATTGGAGAAGGAAGATTCCAGGGTAAAATACCTCGAGTGTCACTTAAGTTTGAGAATTGGGGTAGACATACCACTTAAATTTGAATAGGGCGTCGGGTACCATTAAAGTCACCAAAATGTGCATCCGTCTACTTTTCCATCCAAACTAAAATTTTAATTACTTTTTAGTACCCGAAACTTTTAAAAACATCCAAAACTATATTTAACAAGTTTTATCTAATATAATAATTAGAAAACCTTCTAAACATATTATTGCTAGAATGATTAATATTTTTAATAAAATAGATAAATTATTAAATATAGTAAATTAATATCAAGAATAATAATAAATATACTAGAATATAATAATAAATATTTAAAATTAATATTAGAACATCTATTTAAACCTCCTAATTCAATTAGAAGCACCATTAGAAATAATTAAAATAGAACCTAATCGATTATCAATATATCAAAATCAAAGAAGGATAACTAGAACACAATAAGAAAGAATTAAACATATTCCTCTAATTGAAAAAAATTAGAACGAAAAGAAATGGAAAGTAACCAAGTAACAAATAAAACATAAAAGCTACAACATTCGGTAAAAAATATAGAAAAGAAAATATGACTATATAAGCTACAACATTTTTTAGTTATAACATGCATGGAATAATTAAATTATTAGAACACATAATGATAATTAAAAATAATTATAATGATAATTGATTCTAAATTTTCTTGATTTGGTATCAAATATTCAAAAGAGGATTCTAACTAACCAATGAAAAATGATATTTTTCATAAGTCCAAATTATTTTCTTACAATAAAAAATGTAGAAGGACCAATTATGAAATTTAAAAAACAGAATATTCCAAGAATATTCTGTCAACTTTAACGGAATGCACTTAGGAGTAAACTTAAGTGGTACCGGGTGCAAATATAATAGAGTTCACTGGTACCCGACGCCCTATTCAAACTTAAGTGGTATGACGACCCCAATTCTCAAACTTAAGTGGCACGCGAGGTATTTTACCCGAAGATTCCACCTTGCGCACTTCTTCGTTCGGTGAGCACCCTCGGCCGTCGGGAGAGAATGTAGAGTAAGGCAGACAGCAATTTTACCTTGGTGTCCCTCGAGATATTTCCCTTAGAACGACACTTGTTCCGAAACAAAACGACATAAACATTCTCCACTCAAACTCGGAAAAAATCCAAAAGTACCACTGTTTAAAAAAAAATTCCAAAAATACCACCCAATCCCAAAAAATTCCAAAAATACCATCCTTTTTCAAAAACCGCCACCCCACCCTGCTGTTTACACGAAAACCGTTTGTCGGGGGCGCGGTTTTCTATGCAAACCGCGGGCCTAGGGGGCGGTTATTAAAAAAAAAAATTTTGGACCAAACCGCTAGGTGGGGTGGCGGTTTGACCCAAAACCGCCACCCCACCCAGCGGTTTGGTCCAAAAATTTTTTTTTTCGATCAACTCCTAACTTCGGCCGAAACTTCAAACAAACGTAACTTTGCACTCGGGTAACCGATCGATGCGATTTGTTTTTTCATTTCACATAACTTTTCAAGATCTACAACTTTTAGTAGGATGAAATTTTCAAAACAGGAACTATTTGTGGATATACGGGACCTTGGGAATAACTTTACCTTTACTTTTCACAAATCCATGTACATTTTGAAATTATGATTATATTAAAAGTTGTAGATCTTGAAACGTTATGTGGAATCAAAAAAAAATTCATGACATTCGGATTTTGGAGCACAAAGTTATGGCCGCCCAAAGTTTGACGAAATAAAAAAAAGGCTCGTTCGGGGTGGCAAATGACGTTTTTTCGAGACGAAGGCGGGACCCAACGGTTTGCGGCTTGCAAGATCTCAAAAAGTTATTCGGATTCAAAAAATGGAGGCCGCAAACTATTTGAGATCTTGCAAGCCGCATACCGCCGGGTCTCACATTTCGTCAAACTTTGGGCGGTCATAACTTTGTGCTCCAAAATCCGAATGTTATGAATTTTTTTTTTATTCCGCATAACTTTTCAAGATCTACAACTTTTAATATAATCATAATTTCAAAATGTACATGGATTTGTGAAAAGTAAAAGTAAAGTTATTCTCAAGGTCCCTTATATCGACAAATAGTTCCTGTTTTGAAAATTTCATCCTACTAAAAGTTGTAGATCTTGAAAAGTTATGTGAAATGAAAAAAAAAATCGCATCGATCGGATACCCGAGTGCAAAGTTACGTTCGTTTGAAGTTTCGGCCGAAGTTAGGAGTTGATCGGAAAAAAAAAAAAATTGGACCAAACCGCTGGGTGGTTTGGTCCAAATTTTTTTTTTTTTTTTTATAACCGCTCCCTAGGCCCGCGGTTTGCATAGAAAACCGCGCCCCCGTCAAACGGTTTTCGTGTAAACCGCAGGGTGGGGTGGCGGTTTTTGGAAAAGGGTGGTAGTTTTGGAATTTTTTGGGATTAGATGGTATTTTTGGAATTTTTTTTTTAAACAGTGGTACTTTTGGATTTTTTCCCTCAAACTCACCTACTGTGAGGACCGCACAACCAAGAATCAATGATTGAAAAACCGTACTTAACTTTATATTCGATTTGTGTGTTGTTAATAGTTTATAGTATAATTAAGATCCATTCTTTTCATATTAATTTTTAAACAAATTATATATGTTTGTTAAAATACGATACCAACAAAAATATGTGATCAAATCAGAAAAATCCCAGAATTACACATGATAACAATGAGTCAAATACCAACTAACTGAACATGAGAACCAAAGGTACAAAAGGCGCATAAAGTAAAATTTACAGCTCATCAATTTACCTATGAAAATTAAAGGGTCGTTTGAATGTATTAATTGTCAATGTGGTATTTGTAGAGTCAAAATTTTCATTTATTGTGCATGGTCCTCAGTTCTTCATTCTCTTCTTGGTCATGTTGATTATCCGCCATCTCAGCCTCAACTTCTTCTTCCGATTCAATTTCCTCTTCTACCTCAACTTCAACTTCTTCTTCGGGACCAACTTGTGGTTGCTCCGATTCACCAATGCTTTTCTTGCTTCCCTCAAATCCCTCTCCCGAGCCAAAAGTCGGAGAATTTGATTGATGTCCTCGTCAAGTGGCTCCAAAGGTGTCAGATCACTTCGGGGTCATACACCTCATGAACACTTCACAAAACTCAACACGAGCCAAGGCAAGCAAGATTCACACTCAACAATGCAAAAGGAACAAGCTAGATTAACACCAAACGACTTTTTGAAAATAATGGACCATAACCATTCCCCGGCAACGACGCCAAAAACTTGACTCACTCCAACTACCAAAATAAAATCCCGCCTAGAGTCCAAGTATAAACTCTAGTAGGGTGCAGTATAGGGTAAACATTTTAAAGTGTCAACCCGGGCTGGTCAATGTACCCCTACTTCAACCGTTTACAACGTTATCTAGCAATCGATTTTTATTGAAAGCTAAGCCTACAATTGAAACAAGCAAGCAAATAAATTGGTTTTAGAATCTAGATGAGAAAGCTTCACTCGGGTACTGCTCCCCCTAGCTATATATCAAGATCAACCAAATAGAATGCCAATGTGTAGGAACGTGCTCATACACCGTGAGGATAGCGCAATTAGTGAAGAAACTTCACTCTCTTGGTTGATAGGCCAAGGCACAACAGTTGAAGCTAGCAAACTAGCTCTCTTGGCCAATCAACCAAGGGTTGCTAAGGATACCCTCTTAACTTAATCTGGACGACAAAATAACAACCAAATCAAAGTGTTAAATCAAAACTTGAGGCTTGTCCTAACTTGCCCTAGATGGGAGGCTCAAATGGCTAAGAAACCCAACTCTTCAAAGCCTCTAGCAAACAAATGGTTTCTTTCCACCTAGACCAAATTGGCATGGTAATGAGAAATGAAGAACATAACTCAAACATTTTGAAAATACCTCAAACTTTTTATTAAACACAAACCCACACACATAGCATTCAATTCATACAATCTATCACATATCTAAACCTAGGGTTTATAATACCCAAGTGAAAAAGAGTATTACTCCTTAGTCAAACTACGGATTACAACAAAGAAAAGAAGAAGAACCATGGTGTGGCTTGTGGCTTCCTTCGTTGTTGTAGAAATCATCTTTGGAAAGTGATAATCCCCAATATTCAAGATTGGAGCAAATACTAGAGCACCTCTTCTCTCTTGGTTCGTCGTTTCTCTCTCTAAAAATCTGAAGAAGAAGGTATTCTCTCACTAGGCTCCCTCTTAGTTTCAGCTCCTCCCTCATTTTATACCCAGTTGGTGCGCTTTTCACGGTCTCAGATCATGGTCGTGATCTCAAAGCTCAGACCGTGATCTCGGACAAAAGTGTGTCGTTTCATTAATGGTCTTCACGGTCTCTGGGAGATTATCACGGTCTCACGACCGTGATGTCGTTTAGGCCCGCGAGGCACAGAATATGCTCTGGTCTCCTTGCGCTTTAAGGTCTAGGATCCATTATCACGGTTTGTCTGACCGTGATAATCGTGCTTCCACCGTGATCCTCGACTTTTTGCTCCCTTCGATCCGCTTTCGCCCCTTCTCGTTGAACTTTCGCTCCCAAAGCTAATATCACCTGCTAGAACCCGAAACATGCTGTAAACATACACAACCTAACGTAAAATCGAACCTCCAAAGACATGAACACCTCAAGAACATGGGGTAAAACAAGTACAATTGTGCCCGAATCATATAGCAAGTCGCCAAGCTTGCATTTCAAACCCAGGATTGTTAAAGAAGCGCATGAATCATTAAGTTGACGATTATTCAATTGCATATCCTTTTAGCCAACGGAACAAGTGCAAAACGATGATTCAACAAAGGTTTTGTTTGTATGTTTAGTAAAATACGGTACGAATTAGTCACATATAAAATACTTACAGATATTTTACTCAATCTCCAATCTAGTGGTACTTTTAATAATATGTCAATAGTTATGAAAAACATAATTAATATTTTACTCAATCTCCAATCTAGTGGTACATTTAATAATATGTCAATAATTATAAAAAACAATTAATTATTTAAAATTAAATTAATATATAAATAATAGTTAAGTTCGTAATTTAATTAACTAAATATGGATATTAACCGTGTTATACAGATTTTATACGTGCTTAGTACGAGAACAATCAAATGAACGGGAAAGAAATGAAACGACTTGATAATAATATGAATACGGAAGTTTTAAACGGATAAAATACGTACGTCCATACATGCTTGTATTAAACGGAGTATATACTCTTATAATGCTTGGTATTACAATAGATCATACTACGTGATATGGAAGTGTATCATGGTGGTATGAACATACCAGAGTGTATAATAGTTGAATACATGATAGTAGGAATATACGAACTATAATTTATCAATAATCATTGGGGTAAATTGCAAGGTTGATCACTGAAAGTGCTAAAAAATTCACATTTAGTTACTAAAAGTATTTTATTCCATTCGTGATCACTGAAAGTGGTTAAAATTTCACGTTTGGTCACTCTGTGTTAGTGTCCGTCAGGCTCCGTTAACGCCGTCAGTTTTTTGCTGACATGACTAACAGAAACAATGATTCACCAAATTTTAATCGGTCACATCATTAAATCTGACCTGCCATGTCATATAACCCGCCACATAAGAGTATAAGACCCAATACATAAACCAACCCAATTCAACCCCCACCCGACCCGAGCCTCTCTTCTTTTTCATTGTTTCTCCTTTTTCTATGAACTGCCGCCTCTATTCCCACTTTGATTCTTTGGGATTTCTGATCGAAGGAAGGACAAGACAGTGGAGAGCATCGACGACGAGTTGCGCGAGGACGACGACTTCCGATCTCCCTCCTTTCAACTTTATCTCTCTCACTGACGGTGCTCCTTTACTCTCACCGTGTGCCTCCGTCTCTCTATTGAGGTCGATCCATTAGTGACTTTCCAATCGGAGAAAAAGACTGAATTAAAACTTCGCCTTGCTGCTCCTCGAATCACTGGAGATGAGAAGGTGAGATGACGATTGGGGAAGACCTCGAATTGGGAAAACAGATGATAGAAGGATTAAAGGGTGTCGTTGTGTTCGAAGAATTGGAGGGGCAAGAGCAACCTACATCGATCTGGTTCTCAACAAAAAGTCTCGTCCAAGTTTTAATCGCAGATCTTCATCTTCTTGCTATCTCTGCTCGTCAATCGCTTGGGGGAAGATTTGGGCGGAGAGCCGCCATTGAGCTTTGTGGGGGAGTCGATAGGAGGATTGGAAGAGACAGAAGGGATTGTAAGAGACTGCTGGAGGTCACAAAGGAGGGGGAGGAGGAGGAGGAGAGCAACGCCAAGGTCGTGATGGTGGCATGCAGGGATGGTAGGCGGCGGCGACGATGGTGGGAAGGTGGGTGGGGTCTGGTCGGGTCGATTAGGGTTGGGTTAGGGGTTTAATAGGGTTAGGTCATGTAGAGGGTTTGATGTGGCGGGTTAAAATTTGGTGAATCAGCGTTCTGTTAGCCACGTTAACAAAATACTGACAGTGTTAACGGATGCTGGCGGAGACTAACAGAGAGTGACTAAACATGAAATTTTAACCACTTTTAGTGACCACGAATGGAATAAAATACTTTAAGTGACCAAACATGAAATTTTCAGCACTTTCAGTGACCAACCTTGCAATTTATCCATCATCATTGTGTACCATAAGTTACCACCCCTATACTAGGGTTAGGGGTGAACAAACACACCCGTAAACCGACCCACCCGTCCAACCCGGCCCAACCCACCCGCATTTATCGCTAAAACGAAGGTTTTGGGTTGGGTGAGGGTTTTCTTTTGTACAACCCGCCTCTTTTGGGTTGGGTTTGGATTTTGGATTACACAACCCGTAGAACCCGACCCAACCCGTGTTCCAACTATTAGTATGAGTTCGTATCTAAAAAATATTTATGTCGTATATAGCCATACTTATGAGAAAATTAAGATATTTCGCCATGTTTTTCTCTCATGGTCTCCCTAATCTAATGCATTCTTCGACTTAAAGTTTTGACATAAATTGAATATCGTTATGATTCACGTAATCCTTTTTCTTATGTACAAATTTAATAGAACGACATATTATGGATGCGTTTGTTTATAACCTTTATATCATATTTCAACAAATATCGTGAAAAAAACTAGACATATGTTGAAGTAAATAACATTTTATTAAAATTCAAACAACATTTGTGCATTTTGATACTCTTCACCTCTCGTTTGAAATTTTAATTAGTTATAAAATATTTTTATGATGTATAATAATTATATATTTTATGCTGGGTTGGGTTTTTACTTAAAAATATCGCCAACCCGACCCAACCCAATTAGAAACAAACCGTAGGGTTTAAATTTTTTTGGGTGGATTTGGGTTTGATATTTTCCGAACCGTAGTGCATGGGTCGGGTGATTAAAATGGCTAAACCCGAACCACCCGACCCATGTACACCCCAAACAAGGGTTGTACAAAGTGGTACATTTTGGTCTTATATTTTTTTCCAGAAACTTGTATGTCTAATAAATTATGATGAACTCGTTCCATCTGTGCAAAAAATTTCAAAATTCGAGTTAAAAACGAAGGTGGTACCAAGGTAGTAACGAGTGATATGAATTTCTTTTTTGTAAAAGTATATTGAAAATGGATCTCATTTTGTATATCATGTTCTATCCGTGAAAAAAAATTTGAAATTCAAACTAGAATGATGAAAATAAGATCCAACTAAAAAGGGTAGGGAAAATATAAAAAAACATTATTCTCACCCTACTGGACTTTTCCGGTCCAACTCAAAACTAAAGACCCAAATTTGGTTATGCAAGGAATAGGAAAGGCAGAAAAACCCACCACTCCGGCCTTGCATCATTTTATTCAGGGCTTAATACAAATCACGTCGAAGGGCAATAACCAAGTATGTAGGAATAACAATTTCGACCCGGCCCGTTTTATCCCGTTTTTTAAATTTTTTTGGGGTGGTTTGGGCACTCTTATAGATCTGACTCTATCACATTTTTGACCCGTTTTTACCCAACTTACATGCAAATTTATTAAAATTATTTAGGATCGTATTATTATTACATCATATTTTAGCTATAATGAAGTTGTAAATAGGTGAGAACCTCAATTTTTAAAAAAAAAAAATTATATTATCATATTATAATTTGTTTCTTGAATTTTTAATATAAAATAAAAAATTTTAATGTTTTCCTTTTAAATTATATATTCCTACGAATCTACCTATTCCGATTCGCACCTCGTGATAAATTGCATTACCTAGAACTGACTTGCTATGAGGCCAGTATAGGTATCGCGTCATGAATCTGCCCATAACCATTCCTACAAGTGTGGCATATACAAATAGTAGCAGAGTTGGGAGAAATGGCTGAGAGTTGGAACTCATAGTAACAGAAGATGCATAACACATTACCAAGTACAAATTACATAGATGTCTTCCTCAATCAGCCAGTTTACTTCGCGAGTATTTCAGACTCCTTCAAGGCAGCATCAGGCATCTAATACACTTTTACTTATTTTCCGTGAGGTTCTTCAAGACACTGTACATCCACAACACGAAGACAGAAGTGACATAGACCAGCAACAAACCTAGAGCAGAACAATCAACTTACATACACCAAGAATCACAAAAATCTAATACAGCTAACTACTCGAGCAACCAATACATAGTCGCTCAAATTCAACCCTAAACTCATCACCGAAACTTGCTCGATAACTCACTCTTCCAGTTGGACTGCTGCAATTGCAAGTGCAGTACTCATGTCCTCGAGCAAAGATTCCTCAACCAATGCATAGTCGCTCAAATTCAACCCTAAACTCATCACCGAAACTTGCTCGATAACTCACTCTTCCAGTTGGACTGCTGCAATTGCAAGTGCAGTACTCATGTCCTCGAGCAAAGATTCCTTCTCCTGTTCAAGTTTTATGACCTCATCCATCATTTCATGTGCATTCTCCATGGTTTTCTTAGATTCTTCCATGTCTTCTGATATCTTGACCACATGGGCATGGTCTTCTTGAGTCTTCACCTCATGATAAGCCAGTTCTTGCTCCATTCTAAGAAGTTCATTCCTCATCCGTTCCACCTCTTTAGAAAGAGACTCGTATTTAAAACTGGAGGACCTGTGTGCAGCAACAGCATCAGCATGGAGTTCAGATATACCATCAAACCGAGCTTTCTCCTCATGATAAAGATCCAAGAGTTCCTGGCTAGAAGGCTTTCCATGAATTAACTCATCTATCCATGCCAATCTTGATGCATGCTCAATGTATTCATTCACACTGTGGGAGAATGGCTCATACTCGACCAAATTAGAACGCCATATGTGAAAGGTGTCGTCTGCCAGCTTTATCATTCTTTCATGGTCGGCTGGCCCCAAGGACCCAAGAACATCGAGCAGGGCTTTGCCGTATGACTTCAACAACACCCTCGGGAAACATTTGTCTTGCATTTCGGTCATACTAGAAGGTTCTGAAGAAACTCGCCTCGACATTTGTCTAGCTAACGAGTGAACTTGCTTTTGGGATTGCATGACCGAACCTCCATTAATTGGCACAACAGCAACAAACTCATGTGCAAATAGATCAAAAGACGGGAAAACACCTGTTAAGAAATGTGAGTCAAGAAAACAAACTTTTGGGCCCCAACATTAATTTAGGGAATAGAAGTCCAGTACTCACAACGCACAGCTGCAGCATCTTTGAGGCTCTGGGAAGGAGAAAATGCAAGCTTGCTCAACCAACCATGTGCATGATCATATAGAATCTGATAAATGATTTCTGTCATAGAAATGGTAAAAGTAATTAACCATATGATTCTATTTCCTCTTGTTGACAGTAATCACATTGTCTCCAAATAAGTTGAGAGCTCAAAATTCAAGCATATAAACAAATACCTTGTTTAAATGCACCTCCTGAAACAGAAATGAGCCTCTGAGTTTCTGTTAGCTGGATACAAATATCAGAGGTTGTATAAGGAACTGAAACCCCATTATCTATTATGGGATCCACAGACTCTCCTTCTTCCATGGCTAAGTCAATAACATCTGTGACTTCAACATCCATCTCGGCATTTGAAGATTCACTTCGGTTAGGCCTAGATAGACTGTTATCAGTACTAGGATTAGAACGCGTCCTATTCATTATTTCAGTTACATGACGATCGGCCATTTGAGAAAATTCACAAGCTCCGAAACCCTGCAGCGTGTAAGTTGGCACCAGGGATGAGAAGACACAGCCAAAGGTAAAAATAACGAGTCTGATTACACAAAGTGTCGTAAGCAAAGGAAATTCAAGATAATCAGAACAAAGTCAGATATCAGAATGAATCAATGTCCATGCAACCTTGAAAAATCCAAACCATCAACAAAGGAACAAAACATACAAACAGGAAACACTGGACCCAAGTTCTATATAGTGAGAAGAAAACACCAAGCGTGGACAAGTAACCTAAATTCCTGGCATGCAGAGCCAACTACAAGAATCTTGCTTCTGTTTCAAACGACACTAGGTAGCACAACTAGGGTTTCAAGTCAGAACAACTGTTCTAGTTCATCAAGCTTAGCTGACAATTCTATTACTAGGAAGTAGGAGGAAATCTAACGAGCGGTTAAAGAAAGACTCAGTCATAACCAAAGCGTAGAAACGGGGGGAAAACATTGCAGATACAAGCAAGAGGTACCAAAAATCAAAGGACATGCCTTTTTAATTCTGCAGGCAAAGTACCATCGACCCGTCGAGTCTTTGTTGAGACTACATTTCCCAGCACGACAGGAACAGTAAGGAACGTCGATTGGCACAACATCATGTACCCACTTGAAGAACCTGCAGCCTTCCTGAAAGGCGAAACCAGCAAAATGAAAACTGAGAAATGTAAAGAGGGTTAAAGCGAAGAACAATGGAGATGCAAGAGAGAAGAATGAGAGCTAGCTAGTGAAGGGCGTGGTAGCAAGAAGAACATTACGTCGTACGGCGGGTGGGCATTCCCAGGGCAACCATAAAACTTCCAACTTAAGTGATCATTCTGTTTTCTGGTAGTCTTGACAATACAAGCACCGCGGCCACAGGGGCATCGAACTACCGGTAAATCGCACTCAGGGTCAGGGGACGGGTTTGCTTTGGCCTTGGCCTTGGCTTTGGCAGGACAATTTCTGGCCCAATGCCCCGGTTGATTGCAGTTAAAGCAAGCGCCGGATAGGGTTGGACTCCTACCTTGAGCTACGTAGACATCCATCGCCGGCGACGGAGGAGAAGTGGAGGAGGATGACGGAGGAGGTGGCGCGTGAACTGCACCAGCCATGCGTGTCGACTATTTCTGCCCTTGGATGAAGAACCCCTATTAAACTTCTCCTCCTCTGCCTAACACCGGCGACCCTTGGTTTGGAGGTTACCGGTGGTAGCGTACTCAGGAATATCGGTGGTTGTGGGAGAAGAGGGGTGTTGGGGTTCTTGCTTCCTTCCTTTTTTTGCCTTTGCACTCCGCTGAAATTAGAGGCAGTAGCGGCTACATATGGATTCCATTTCACTACCACCGACAACGGCCGTACCGGTAGTCTAATCACTGTGATCAATAATTTCTTGTTGCCACTGTGACTGTAGTGCGTCTGCACAATTGCAGCCCAAAGAGACAGAGGACCCATCCCATCCCAACGGCACTTCCAATATTTTTCTTGCCATTGCAGTGACTCTGATCAATTATTTCTGGTTACGCTGTACCCATTTTCAATATTTTGTGCACAAAATTTCATACTTATCTTTATCAACTTTGGTATATCCTTCAATTTTAAGTCGTTTTTTAAAATATTTGCACATAATGAATACGTTCATCATAATTTATTGGATTTATAAATTTTTGGATGAAAAAATAGAGGACCAAAAAATAACATACTATATCACCCTGGTATAGGGTGGTATCTTCTGGTACATAATGTTGAAAGTCGTAAATGACAGTTAATATACTACTACTATCCTGTATTCAATCATCCTACAGTCTTGGTATGTTCATACCACCATTCTACTCTTTCATACCATATAATATGCTCTTATTTCAATACCAATCAATACCACCATGGTATAGACTAGTAAAAAATGTTTCAATTTTTTTGTTCAAAAAATATGTCAAAGTGATGTACTCCAAGTCAATAATATTATGCCACGTGACAATTCGTTTATTAAAATTGAAACAAAACCTGGACTCCAACAATAGTGAATAATGGAATTAGGAACGACGGGAAAGAGAAGGACTTGTCTAACGAAATACAACCCGGGAGATCGACTCTGCTCTGAGAGAAAGCGGACGACATGCAAATCAAAACAACGGAGGATGGCTTCCACCACGAATTCACCGGATGGCAGAAGCTTGTGGGGGTGGCGAGATTTGGAGTCCTGCATCACGATTTATGAAGCAAGGTCGATTAATGGAACCCATCGATTAATCACATTCATTAGTGCAGATCATTGTTGGTGGTTAGCACATGTCAACAATTACCCCATCCTAAGCCAAGTTTAACATAAGATGACATTGTCGTATAGAGGCAATCAAGGTCGTATTTTACTTGACTCCTGCTATCCTAGCCTAATTCCCACCTCGTTATTATTTAGTCGATCGGTTTGGAGGTTTTGTATGGAGGATTGGAGCGAATTAACTGGTCTAGAGATTGATAAAGCTAAAAGAAGGAACTTCGGGGAACTATCTCTCACCCTAGCCTAGGGCTACTATGTAATGTCTGGATACTTAGGGTTTATCGAATGTGGTGAGTGAGCTATTTTCTGTGGGCTTTCGTGGTTATCCACACGCCTCCGAGTATTCCTACCCTAACCACATATAAAGTCACCTCGTTCTAGGCTATATTTATCTAGGGCATTAAGCTCGTAGATCCTTTCAATGGATACTATCCACCGTCCACACCGAGGTTTTATCTTGGGTTCTATCTAGGAAGGCTACCTATGGCAGGGGTTCGATCGACTCGACCATCATAAATCCATATTCATACATCTAACCTCAAATAGCTTGATGGTGCATACCCATCTAACTCTAAGACTCCAACCCAGCGTAGAAGGATAAAATAGGCTAGTAGAGAAGATTAGGGCGACTTACCCAAACACAATCAAAGATAGAATAGTACTAGAATCAACTAGATAAACACATTCATTTATTCAAACCCTAAAATATCCATACATACATAGTAAACCCTAAAACTAGAGTTTGGGGTTTAGAACACCTAGTACCTTAGAGGACTACTCCATAAAAGAGGGAAAAAGAAACATAGAAGAAATTGAAGAAGACTTGGGGATGAGAAAGATGCCTAGCTCCTTCTCTCTTCTCCTTCCTTAAGCTTCTCTCTCTTCTCTCTCTCCCTAAAAACAAAATTCTATCTCAAAATCAAGGGGGAAAGGGGTCTTCAATTTATAGGTAATCAGAGGGCGGAAAAATTCGTGGCCGACAGGACAAAGATCGCAGGCCGGATCTTTAATGGCGAGTTCGCGATCTTGAAACGCAGTCTTAATGGACTTTGAGATTGAGGAGATCGCGGGCTGACTTCGCGGTCTCGCTCCACGAGTCATGACCGCGATCTTCCTCGTGGTCAAAATTCACTATGGCAGTGATTTGACTGGGGAAACTCTCTGTTTCTCCTCGACTTCTTATTCGCGAAGTTCGCACCCTGAGCCCTTCAATTTGCGGCCACGATCTTCATCTAGACTTTGCGGTCCATGATCTCGACCGTGATCTTCTCTTTCAGGCCAAGATCTTTAGTCTTATGTCCCCTTGCTACACTTGTGACATTGTTGTGTACCTAATTTGCATATATCGTCTAACACACCCTAAAATCATATCGAATTCCAATAGGAACGAAATAGGGATGCAATTGACAATGTTCAAGCAATTATGCACATGAATTAGCACGAAACAAACCTCAATATGAAGGGTAAAATAACACCAATTTAGGTGTTATCAAACTTCCCACACTTAGGCATTTGCTTGTCTCCAAGCAAACCTACTCAAACCATGCAACATGATAGACAAATCAATGGGGAATGCACTCTAGTTCTTCATTGTTAAAGAATAGTAGATGGAGATGAATGAACGTTACTATCATCTTACTGTGCAAGCACAAACTCTCGGGTGAGGATCATACTTACTACCTTAGGACGAACATTCAAGGTGTGATCCGGGGGATTCTCAAACAACACATAAGCACATGAACTCTCGAAGGTGCTCTATATTCTGACTTTATATTAGGAGTTGTCGTTTATTGGTCTCCCGTTTTGACATTGACGTGCATTGCACCATACTTTTGAAAACAAGCATATCTCCCTCATAACCAAGAGCGGATGAATCATAACCTTCCCTTTCAAGGTCACATATGGGGAAGTTGAGGGGCGGATTCGTCTTACCCCGAGCACCACTTCCCAGCCTGCACTCCACATTAGGTTACCACACATGTTGGTACAAACTAGAGTTATGAGGTCTCATGAATCGCTAAAAGGTACTTTGGACCTTGGCATACGATTTCGTGAGGAGGAAAGATGTGTTGGGGATGGTAAGTAGTGAAAGATGGTCGGGATGCAGCAATGCTATCCAATCCCCAACATATCCTCGAAAGGGCACTTCGAATCCGTGAAGATTGGTTGCCTCTCACGTGAGAACCTCATTTTCATAAGATTATTCTCTCTTTTTCTTTCTTTTCTAATACGCACAAATTGGTAAAAGCTTTGAGTTAACTAGACAAACAAAAGAGAATCCCGTACACTTGTTCTTCCTAAAATAGAAAACATTATCGTCAACTCATGCCAGAGGAAGAAAATAGTAAACCCTCTCATACTCCGGTACTCTAATCATGCAACTATCCCTTAGAGAGCACAACACATCAATCATCTATCAATTCAAAGCATATCGAGTAGGAGGTTGCAAGGAACAAGGTGTTTTCGAATCCTCAAATTTGAAATTTTTTGGGTAATGCATTCAAGGTTCCAAAATACTATCATTTAGCCACTCAACACCACAAACACACAAAATCGCTATCATACACTCCCATAACCATTCATCAACGTCTTACATTCATAAAAAAGGGAGGCTATTAATGATTCATGGCATATTCATCATGAACTTTTCAAGCATGCAATGCATTCCCCCCACACTTAAGAGACACATTATCCTCAATGTGGGAGTTAAAGGTAGGATTCAAGAAGTGTTACCATAGGTGTTTGTGAGTCGAGTAGGTTACACAAGTGTAGGTCTTCATTGATCTAGAGAATTAACGTTTAAGCACACACATAAGAGAGGAAGAATGAGTTATCCATAAAAAAATATAAAAACTAATCTACCACAAACACATATTTTATTAAACATACTAAGTATTTAAAAATAAAAGGATATAAAAAATAGAAATCGGCCCCTATATGCCATGTTGTCTTTGATGTACGGTTGGAGCATATGGTAGTTTCAAATCGAAGGTTCTTTCATGCGAAGATGGTCCATCATAGCTCATAGTCGCCTCCATTGGTTGATTTGTTGTGCTTGTTACTCGATTTGAGGTTATGGTACTTCTCTGGGAAATTTTGGTTCCTCTCATCACGGGCGGTTCCAGTTCCTTTGTTGTTAAGGGCTAAGAGAACTAGCACTCTCACCCTCAATTCAGTCGGATCGCCATTAGACAAGAAAAGTCACACAACATGTTCAATCAAACCATTAGGAAACTCACTAGATCAATTGAACAAAAAAAAAAAAAAATCAATCCTTAGGTTCACTCTATACACCCCCACACTTAAGTGTTACAATGTAGAGACTAGAGGTGCATAGGTAGAAATGCATGTTGTAATGACTAGGGTCTAGATCTAGATGCATGAAAACAAGGGCGACATGTCTTTCTAGAGGTGTCTAAACCTCGGCCGAAGGCTAGAATCAACTCATTAGACAACAACCTAAGCTTGAAGTCTTGGTTCTAAAAGCATAACGAAGCACAAAATCAAAAGTAAGCCAAAATTTCAAACTCAAGTAACATGCATGAAGGATTTAATCCTAAGTCATAAACACACTCCTAAGGGTCTATTTAATCAAAAAGTTCAATTGAAAAGCAATGGATCAAGAAAAACAAGTTTTATGTGGTTTGGGCATTTCATCGAGCACTTGGTGGGCGACATTCAAACTCCACAAATTCATAAAGATAAAGCCCACCAAGGCCTCCAAACACACTTACAAAATCATAAGCATGCATTCTATGATCCTATTGTAGTGTCCATGCCATACCCTAGCTCTAAGTAGCTTAATTGGTAGTATAGGTTAGCACACATGCTCAACACAACAAAAATTCCAACCATTCCTCAAGCAACTAGATAATCTCCAACAATCATGCATAATATGCATAGAATACTTGACATTGAAGGGATTCTTTCACTAAATAACACTATAAAAACTATTAAAGCAAAATCAAAATGCAAGTTTATTTTGAAAAAGCTAAGGAAATGTAAACCGGTTGTTGGGGTACCTCCCAACTAGTGCGTCTTTTAAGTCTTATCGTCGGACGATTATCTTCAAGCATTCGGTCCAACTTAGAACCTCTTTGAAGTTGAGGTTCTTGTCGGTGAGGTGGGGTCTCAAGTCCTGAGCAAGGGATGCTTCAAATGATGTGAATGGCCCGTGGATTTGGTAAGAATTGTGTCGCCACCCACGAGACCTCTTCTTCTTTTCTTCATCTATCTTCTCTTCGCCCCATACCATGTAATACAAACTCGATTGACTTGCATCGCATCCACCAAGAGGGATCACCGATGGTTTGGCCTTGGTTTGGCAAAGACCCTCAAACGGCTCCTTCT